AATTATCTTCAAGACACGTAGAGTTATAGAAGTATCTAAAGTGCCATACCAGGTCTAGGGGATTGAAGGTGGACCGAGCCGTGTCTTTTGCTAATATTGATGGGGAGACAGACATGGTGCATGCGACACTTGCTCCTAGGCGTAAAAGGAAGCATCGAAGGCACAAAGCTCATCATTCCTAGGTCCTACTATCCGCCCCATGGCATTTTCTTTTCTTTCTATGCACAGTATAGCTTGTTCATAGGAGCTTCTGGTAATCTATTGCTCATTTATGGACTAAGAGACTCATGCAATACTTGCGTTATGGGTAGTTTTATAATAATAAAGGCCACCAGATTCTTCACTAATCCCAACCATCCCCTTCCCTCATGTAAAACTCCGTATCCTCATTCTCCTCAAAAGCAATCTCTGACAGGGGCTGTCCCTCCAGCCAATTAACCGCATGCTGTGCCGTCTCCCTCGCCCTTTCGCGCACCCTGAACGGGAGAATCTGACCTCTGTGATTCACTGCTAGCAGAAGCACCCAGCCCTCCTCGCAGGCCTTCCGATCCGCCACAAGGACTAGAGCAGCCTGCGACTGATCACTCTCCTCCAATTCTTCCGCCCGCTCCGCCCCACTGAAATGCCGCCAATCATCATCCGATATCCCATCAAAAAGCTCGGGGCAGTGCATCATCGCCGCAACCAGATACCCCGGCACGGAGCCCGGGCGTCCAGCCGCAATGCCCCCCACGACATCCGGGCCCTCCGCATCTCGACTCAGCTCCCTCCAGTCCTCGAAAACAAACTCCTCGCGGATGCATGAAACATGGTAGTTCTCGCGCCCCTGTTGCAGGACCTCCAGCCGGAGCCGTCTGTACGCGGTGTCCGCGGCATCTTGGCTGGTCTGGTCTGTGCCGCCGAACCAGGTCCTGATCCACAGCGTGCTGGATAGCATGTTGCTTATGGCGCGATCATCCTCGGAGAGGAGGTCTTGGGGAACCTCCGGGGGGAGATAGTCTGGGATTGGGTCTTCGAAGGTGGCGAGGGCGTAGTCCTGGGATTATTCGTTAATAATTACAATATAATAGGATAAATAAATAAACCCATAGATACATTTCGCCCATATTTTCCCAGCGCGATCCATTTCTCCACCAGGACTCTTTTCTGCTCATTTTGGGAGAGCGGGGACGCGGCGTCCCAGTTTGCCTTTATGGGAATTCAGTGATGGACTTGTGATGTTCTTGGGAACGGCAAGCTTACCAGGACAAAATGGTCAAATGGGAGATACCCGAACTCGGGGTGGTCGAGGCCTTCTCTCATTGTTGCTGTTGTTATTGGCGGTGGTGGTGATGAATGGAGTCGGGGCAATTGGTGGGATGAGGGGAGTCAAAGGGAGCGGGATGGCTGAGACTTGAAAATATTAAGAAACCAAAGGATTTTAAACCTACTGTTAGCTTTTATCTAGAGATAATTAAAGATTCTACTGAACCAAGACAGTATATAAACTGGCAGTATCTAGATAAGTTATCTTAAAGCTTAGGCTTAGAGAAAACTGACTCTTAAGAAATAATTAAAACTAGACTGTGCAATTAATAAATAAGAAATATTCGGGAGTTTATTAAAGAGAACTTATTTCCAGGAATATATTTATTTTTGATACTTATATAATCCTAATAATGACCTATGTCTAGCCACTAGGCTTCAAAACAAGCATGCAATTTACTAAGCTAAAGTCTTCTATCTACTTTTTTTTTCTCTCTATTTTTACACTAGGAAGCGATAGAGAGATAGATAAAAATATATATAGACTGGCCTGTTAAAGACAATTAACTGGCTTCTTAATACAGCTACTGGGACTAAAGAGTTCAGCTATGTCATGCAAGATATATTCTTCTTTAAGGATATATACCTGAACTGGGCATGTCCAAGTACTGAATAGTACAACAGTCTATACTCCCGCCAGGATAGAAGAGGATGGCGTCCCCTTCTATCTAAAGGTAGGCAAAGCAGCTTCCCATCTCCAGAAGACCAGACCAGGGTAGCCCAGGCGCTTCTTCTATCGTTTTCCAGCATATATTATTCAGGTTTGTTGCTTCAAGCATGTATTTCGCGAGTTCCTAGTGAGATATCTGTTTAGGTAGCTCGTCCAGTTGCCCCTGGGAGGCCGCCGAGTGACATTAAATAGAAATCAACTCAAATCAAATCCCCTGAAGCTTCCTTCTGATATAGAAAATTAATATCTATCGAAAGGGTATCCGATCTTCAGTAGGCTTCATGAGTGTAGCTGATATAGCTTCGCTCTGTCCTTCTTTCCCTGAAATCGCAACGTCTTTCATAACGTGGAAGCGACTGACACCTCATTCCTCACCTCAACGTCCAATTGGCACTACAACCCCACTTTTCCGCGAGGAATCTCCACTTGGCTGGGCTTCCCATTTGACAAGTCTTTATAAGACCTGGGAGCTTAGAATATTGGTTTGTCTCACCGCTTGGCGCAGCAACCTTACTCACATCACACCGCTGGCGTGAAAGAAATTAGTCCGCCTTATTTCTGGTGCTGTAAAGAGAGGTGGAGGCCCACTGGCTATGTGTTTGCCGCCTGTATACTCTGATGCAGTCCAAAATTTGTGCGGAAATGCCATAGCGGCTACGCGAAGCGGCCTAGAACTCGTGCTTTTCAAAGCGCAAAGGTGTTGTTGTCCAATAGGGTCAAGGAGATTGAAGGATAACAGATAGGATTATTAGTGGAAAGATAGACACCCCCGAGGGAGAAACCCGCCACGTTCAGCCCAAAGGCGATGGCGCCCCGGACCTCGTATAGGATTACACCAAGCCGCTGGGTCAATATTCCGTCCAGCACTCAGTCTTAAGAGTGGTATGCATCTAGCACTTCGGGCTCTTTCCAAAATATCCATGGATTCAAGTCAGAGGTTATGTTGGCTGCTTACTTGCATCTGCTGCTGACAAAAATACGCACGTCAGCCTCGTCCGAAAGACACAAAAATTGCATAGCCTTTGACGGTTAAAGATTTCTTCTATTTCGCCCTCCTACAGGGTCTAGGGACTATTTTTCTGGTAATGTATTTTCAGCAACAACTCGATCGCTGACCCTTCCAGTGTCCACTAGTGTATGAGGCATGAAACGTGGCAGTGCCATTCTCATTACTATGTCCCAAAAGGCCCCTCTTGGCCACTTTGTTCGGCGAGGCATATAGATCACGATAACAAAACAAGATACTATTGATGGTCCCAGAAGCCGAAGCGTGTCCTGAAAAGGGCGTACTTGTCCATTTACATGACAGCACAAACCAAAATATATTTCTAAGTATGATGCCCTAAATCTCAATGGGGATGCGAAATCCGGACGTTCCTCATATTAAAATATCACCAAAGTCCAAGTTCAGGCCCTTCGTTGGGTATCAGTATTGTAGCGCATTTCATATCCCTGCTACGGCTTCCTCCCTTCAGCAACCCCAATTATGTCCCCATGACCAGGACCATGTCAGCGTCGTATCCAGAGTGAGTGTCAGCTAGCCATTGCAGGACTGATGGGATTAGTTCCATTCCTAAGGTTTCATCTGCGGGGTACAATACAATGGAGACAAACAGGATCTGCATGCCTGAAGAACATAAGGCAGAGTTGGACGCGGCATCATTTCCTAGATAATTCCTAAGTTTAATCTCTGCTTTCCTTCCCTTCCCTTTTCTGATCTGCAGCTATCCACGATTTGTTACCCAGAGTTCGTCGTGTCGGCAATGATCATCGACGAAAACAGATTATGGCCCTCAGAACCCGATGGACGGGTAATAATCTCTATCGGATTCTCAGAGCATGGACATCATGATCGCCGGGACGAAGTGAAAAAGGTCGCTAGGAAATGGGAGAAAGCCTGTCCCTGCATTCACTTTAAGTGGACTAGAGACATTTCCGAGTGCGACGTGCGTATCAGCTTCAAGGGCGATTTGAGTTGGTCTGAAATTGGCAACACTGCAGCTGACGATCTCGACCTTGAACATCCAACAATGAAACTTCCCTGGGTAGGGGAGAAGGCCCTGAGGAGGCGCCACATACTGCACGAGTTTGGCCATATGCTTGGTGCTGAGCATGAACACTGTTCTCCAGATTTCCCATGGGACTTTGACAAGAGCCAGGTGGTGGAACACTTCAAAAGAGAAATTCAAACGAAGCATCCGGCATGGTCAACAAAAAAAAAGAAGGATGAGGCAACGGCTCGCGCGAAGCGCGACGTGCTTAAGCATTTGGATAAAAGAGATCTTATATGGTCGTCATTTGATGATAAATCCATTATGCTGTATCCCATAAAAAAGGAATGGTTGCAGTATAACCCATATGACGACATCCCACCAGAAGACTTTGACGAGAACTATGAGCTTTCACGCAAAGACAAAAAGTACATGAGGAAAGCCTACGGCTGTACATGTCTAGATCCGAATCCACCAACCCCTCCGCCAATCCCTCCACCGAATCCAGTTCCCTATCCAGGCGGTTTCGTGTACGGTGGACTACCGCCGAATTGGCAGCCAATCGCACCCCCACCTTCGTAGTCCAAATAATGGGCCAAGAGTTATATTACTGGCAGATAAGATAGGGTTGTTTGAGTCCGTGGTTTATCGTGGAGATGTACCAGTTCCTTATGAGGACGGCGGCGTTGTTGAGCAGACGGAAATTATTGATGTAGATAACATCTCGAGGCTTACGTGCTTAATCTGTAACGCTTCTCCTGAATCTGTGTTGCCAAGAATTGAAGGCGAGTCTGGGCTTAGCTCTGAAATTTTAGGGAGCAGTCTGAACTACTACTGTCTTTGGCGCCTGAACGTATTATCTAGAAGCTTAGAAGGATGTTGGAAGGCGAAGGTGTCGATTGAAAAGGGGGTAGCCCTATTGGCTGTTTAACTAGTACTAATGATAATGCACCGACGTGACCAAATGGGGGAGTAGGGAGTGAGGGTTCATCTGTCCCAACATAAACTAAAAAACAGCCAGTCGCGCTGCGCCAACTTAATCATGCTAGAATATATTTGTAGAGCCTATATGAATGGAATAGAATGTATCACAACTACCAAGACAGGTAGGTAGGTACATATCCTGTAAAGTTTCGGCAGCCTGTGTAGGACACGCTAATTGTGCTCATCATACCTATTGATATCCTTCTTACCGTTTCTTGCAGTGCTCAAGAGAGTCCAGGCCCTCAGAGAAGCCAACCGTAATCCTCGGTACCGATTCTTGCTCCACTAGCCGGGTAATTAACAAAACTGGTCTACCTGCACTCTACCGTCGGTAAATTCAACCGTCATCGATCTGCCGTGCAGAATCCATACAGCACCGACCATCCTGGGAACCAAAAATGGAAAAAAGGAAACAAAAGGTAAGTCCGGGCCTTATTTCGTGTATGTACCGCAGCACTAGCTTACCATCATGATTGGAGCGCGATTTTCATTATCCTTCTCAGGCTATTTCTCAAGCGTCTCGAAAGCAATGCAGCATGCCAGAAAGAAACGACGTGAGGGTTCCTCTCCCTCGTCAATCACGTCAGGAAGTATCGCAGGGCACTACAGACACATTTTTTAAGGTAGTGAAGCTCGGAAAAGTATCTCCTGCTTGCGTAGACTGTCGGAAGAGCCGAGTAAAAGTGAATTACGACTTCTATAACACATCCTTCTAGATTAGATGCTTTTCTCCAGACTAATTTGCACTAACTGGCTAAAGTACTGCTCTCCAATAAAGATTCTGACAACAGGTCTTCGCAGATTGGGGACGCAATCACTGCATTACTGTCCTCCTAGCCAAACAGTTACCAACTCCATCGTCAAAGCCATCTACAAACATTTTACCATTAGGTCTGACCGTCAGCGGAGTTGACGTGCAACGACAGTTACATGCTAAACGTCCGGTCAGCCAACTAATTCAATGGACCCCTGTCAATGTGGCTGGCTGGTTGTATCCTGCCACGAACCTCACCGTGATTCGCGGCAGGCTGTCCGTGAGATTACCCCGCCTGTAGACCAGGCGATATGAATGATGTGAATATGTGAATAGGACACAGTCATGTTAAATACACATCCCTATCATTTGTTTCAACTCCGGTAGCAAAGTATCAGACAAGAGACACCTTCACTCATCATCGTCATCATCATCAAAAGCCTCGATCAACCGTAATATTTTCTTGTTCCCGTACTTCTTGGCCAATCCTCTGGGCGTCCTTCCCTTTCTATCTTTTCGATCAGGGTCAGCGCCCTCCTGAAGCAAGATATGAACAACTCCCCTTTCATCATCATCCACAGCGAGATGCAAAGCCGTCTTGCCATCATTGTCCTGTTTATCCACTTGAGCTCCATGGTCTACCAGGGTACGTGTAGTAATATCATCAATGTAAGCCCGATGCAGCGCTGTCCGGCCGTTGTGGTCCGCGGCGTTTATTTTCGCCCCTTTCTGTAAGAGAAGTTTTATGACGGATTCATTTCCCACCGAGGCGGCGAGCATGAGAAGGGTTTTACCCCTGGCATCAGTCTCGTTGACATTGGCCCCGCGGGAAATGAGTTGCGCGGCGAGAACAGCATTCGACTGCATGATGGCTTCTTCAAGCGTGTACCCATCGATACTGTAGTCCGGGACGGGAACTCGGGGCTGCTACTGTGGTTAACATTCGGGATACAACACATCCTGTGCGCTGAGAGAACATTACTTACTCCGTTTTGAGGCATGGTTGATGCAACTTATATAGTTTTGCTCCAGCAGATATGTATGAGGACGTAGCGAGGACTTTCCGACAACTGTTTGGTGAGATTGGCCTTTAGGGAATATATACCTTATAGAATTCCAACAGCCCATGCAGTCTCAGGCTGAAGACGAAATAGGATGATACGACATTAATACCACTTAAAATACCGTCCAGGGAGTACAAGATCATTTCTGAAATAAGATCGATTGAAGTCACGCTTTGACTATGCGACCCAGTGCTAATGACCCACCAACACCCCCCGTTCGTGTACGAAGCAAAGCCCAGTATTATTTATCGTCCAATACTTTGGGGCACCCAGACCCGGAAAGACCCCACTGGTGCGTCTAATGCACGCGTCCCCCAGGTGAATTTGCTGCGCTTGACTGCGTTATTGCAGTGTGACGTTTTTCTCATCTGCGATACAACCTAGTAAGCGTATCTTTATCCAAATGTATGACACAGTCATCGCCTCTTCTGAGTTACCTATACAGCTATTACAACTGTTGTCGGGAATCACCGGTCAATAATGCAGCCTGTCGGTGCCATTAGCACTCGGCGATCATCTTGTCTCTCAGTTCATTGAAGCCAGTCTGAGCTGACGTGTGAGCGTATTCTCCAAACCCCGCAGTCAAAGCTGACAGCTCTCGGCCCCTGATTAATGCGTACATGACCACATCTCAAGGCCAGTAGGCTGGTACTACAGGCTGGATAGTTTGGTGGGCTGGCTGAGGTCTGTGAGGGGTTGAATACTCCAATGGCCTGCCCTCTCAGAAACTCGGCGGCTTGCTTTCTGATCCGGACTGTGGAACTCTCCGGGATGGCTCGGTAGCCCATAGCACGAAAGTCTGTCTCGGAGGCTTGTGTCTGACTTAGCCAACGGCTCGATATGGACGTTAAACTTGATTAACAATAATAATAATAAAGTCTCTGAGAGACATTCTCTCTCCTAATCCCCACACCGGCGCGATATCTGCTTCGTGCCTTGTCCTCGATAGCCTCGGGACCCCATCGACCGGTATAGAAGCAGATGAAGGATATTTTGAGTATTTCAAGGGTTGGATGAGAACTCTACCACAACATTTTGGTTTTTTTTTTTTTTTCAGGCTTCACGCTTTCCCCTGAGTGCCCTGAGAGCATAGCTCAGGGGAGAGGCAATAGGAACTATCACATCCACGCTGTGATGGACAAATGGCCATTGGAACTTAGACAATCCCTTTAAATCCTTTCTATACTCTTTGAGTCGTGTCTTTGAGGTTGTATAGTGTTCATCCAGAGCCATGGGAAATAATGAAAGCGGGTGACCTCTACATCTGGGGACTTGAAGGCCATAAGGCAACTTCTTGTGTGCAGAACGATCAGAATTTAGACTTTTAAGAGGAGTATACTGTCTAGATATAAACGGGCTCTAACTACCTAGTAGGTGTCTGTGGTGTAGGTAATGTATTAAGCACTAACATGAGAACCCATCGTAAACGAAATCAATCCATGTAACTTTCAGAGAGTCTTAGTTTAGTCATGGTAAGATCAGAGAAACTCCCAGAGCTTTACCTATCTTCTGACTTCAATCGCAGCATATCATTGTAATATCAGTTTAATACAAGCATGCAATGAAATATCTGGCAAATGGCAGTGGCACAATGAAAGCATTTTATCACTTATCCCAGACATTCACCCAGATCCAGAGGAGGCACGAAAGCCGTGATGCTCTCTCAGATTCTACTATGGCGCTGATAGTATCTCTCGGTAAAATCGATGGGAACCTTACCCTCATCTTGAAAGTCTGCAAGTAAGCGAGAGACTCAAAGCGTTGCCAGCCTTAGCTAACCTCCATGGTTGAAGAGTAGATACAATGCTTTCTTTGCAGTATGGAAGACCGACAATGTTCTTCCGAGACTATACGGCTGAAGTGTGGAATAAACTTGCCTCGGGCGGACATGTGTCGACCACGCTCAAGTTATGCCCTGTCATGATCTGCATCCATATCTTCATGCCATATTTTCAGATATTATTAACATTTTTGATCTACTGAATATCGATCCACCCCAGTCTATACTTGATCTATTGGGATTGAGGAGGTCTTAGTCTCAATTTGCTATCGCCTTCTACGGTTTATTCCAATACACCACTCTGCGGGCGGAATCGAGTCGCAAACTGCGTGCCACCTTGGGTTGCTTATGTTTATCATGACTACATTCTTCCAAATCGGCCAAAATCAGATCGTAGTCTTCAAGGTGTTATCTGTGCGCTTCCAGGATTTGCATAGTGACCTATGCGAGCTCGAGCAAGGCTTAAGTCTTAGGTTCATGGTCCTTGGTGGAATTTGGTCTCCGAAAGATCTAAATAGTGATTTGCTTGCTTCAAGGATACAAATATTGGCTGAGTGGCAAGGAATTGGCAGCTGGAGCGAACTTCGATGCTGTATTGGCAAATTTCCATGGATACAAGCTATACATGATCAACCTGGCCATGATCTATGGAACCAAGTCCGACACGACCGCTAAGGGTTGATTGTCTAATGATGAACATAGCTGTACTGTCACTCTTCCTCATTTTACATTATTTGAGATCACGCCCAAGTGATTACTCACCACGCAAAAGTCTGGCCAACCAACCTTTCAGAGACATCCCAGAGCTTCTCGGCCTCTTCACTAGATATGGCGAGAGGATGAGCTTTACCACTTATCTGACAACTGTCCAGATAGGATCCCCAATTTTCGCTGCCGTTTTTGCTTTTCCCGACCCCTTGAGCCAGTTTTGGGTCCAATGCAGCGACCAAACTCGTTGATTGCCCCCAGCGCCCAACGTTCTCGGCTTAAAAACGCTCTTCCTCAACTCCGCAAAAGCTTCCAGATCCTTCAACGACATGTTCCGGCCCAGCTCGGTGTCAATGACCCCAGGATGTAAGGATAGAGTCAACATTCCATGCTTGTCGAATAATCGCTTATTTGCCGCAATGCCAAAGAGTACATTTGCACCCTTGCTACGATTGTACCCATCGAGAGGAACATAAAGGCTTCCTCGATATCCAGACATCCGCGCATCTCAAACGACTCATAATTCGGCTCTTCTTCTGCGGGCAGATCTTTGTTCCTTCTCTCAAAGTTCATGTCACTCCAGCGCATACCAGAGGCCTGGACCGAAGCAGAGCTTACATTGACAACTCGCGTGGCGCCTGTCGGGTTGCTTTCAGCAGCTTTGATCAACTTAGGCATGATCAGACACGTAAGGAGCCAATGTCCCAGGTGATTTGTTGCACAGTGCAGCTCAATACCATCCTGACTCAATGTGCGTTCTTGAATGCCCATTATCCCGGCGCTGTTGATGACAATATTGATCGTGGGTACGTCGGCCCAGCTCATGATCTCGTAGGCTGCATTCCGAACTGACTCTAGGTTGGGGAAGTCAACCTGGAGACCGCGATAGTTGACCTTAGGGAACTCCTCAGAGCGTTGATGGACTCCTTGATTTTGATGGGGCTGCGACCGGTAAGCATTAGAAGAAAGGGCGATTGAGAGGCCTGCCAAATTGATATGGGCGAGGTGTATGCGAGACTCAGGGAAAAGTTACAAAGGCTTGGGTGGTGGATAAGCCGGTGCCACCGCGATTCACACCCGTAACCATGATTGTCTTGCCGCGGATTTCAGACGCAAACGCCCCTGCGACGTCAAGTGCTTCAGTGTTTTCGTTGAATTTGGGATAGGTCGTGGTAGCCATCCTGTGTCTATAACATACAACAGAAAGAGAAAGACGGGTTTCGTTCTGTAGATGGAGGTCTTCTACTTGGGCAAAAGGATTCTTTTTTTTTCCAAGGGCCATATCTAGGTAGCATCATGGCCCATGAGACATCTCTCCATTTTCTTATGGAAGCTCTCATGACCAGAGCCGACCAATGAGAGATTTACTACCTGTTTTGGTTAAGCGATATCAAGGCGGGTTAGCCTCAGCCAATGAAAGATTTGTTGCCTGATTAGGTTAAGACGATCTTAAGACCTAGGTAGCTTCTAGTATCGAACTGTTTGTCTGCGGAAACTATAGGACATTCCATTTCAGGAATAGGGCTAGATAAAGGCCCCTTTCTGCTCATCGGGGCAAGGCGGAAGTGTGTGTGCTGAGATGGAATATCGTTATTAACTCTTGAAGGTCAGGATCTGGGCCAGTTGGCGTTGATCGTTGATTCTGCATATGAGGTTCCACCTAGACGACGATCTAACGAAAAGCGCACAGGCGCTAGGCTATTTAGGAAGGCTCTGCTGTCAACATCAACACCGTAGGCAACAGGATAACGGCAGTCAAGATGGCTGTCACCGCTCGTTGCGGAGATTCTGCCAGTGTTGTTGTGCCCCAAGGGCTCCTCGGTAGAGGCTGGGCAGCCATAGTGCCATTGTAGGTCTCTTTTTAGTTCAATTCGTGGAGCGACCTTTGCTATTGCCGCCGAGAACGGCTTGTGCATAACCGCTGTTGGGAGGCATGACTAGCTTTCCTTTCAACACCCTAGGGTACTTGAAAGGCCAGGTATTGTTGCAGCTCTGTAGTGGTCTACTCGGATACAGCCCTGGGGGTCTCAATCACCGAATCCGACGTCTCTCCGTTTACACCAAACTCGGTGGCCTCTGGCTATATAGTACACTTTTATTCCCGTGCGTACTTTAGATTTGGAAAGCAGACTGTATAACGATTTGCATTTTAGCAAAACCCACTGCAAGCATTTTAAGTGGAAGAAGCTTGCTTACCTCAAATACAGCAACTTATTGGTCTCAGCTATAGTCTAAATTTATACCTTTTCGAGCATTCCTGCCATGCTGCAAGGAGCTGCATAGGGCAGTTATCCGGATGGGAGGGCTCCGCTAATAAAGACAGCTAGACACCAAGTTGTGAGTACATGTATATACTTTCAAGCCACAACACTACAAGCAAGCCAACCTGCCGGAATGAAATCCAAAAGTTGATTTGGTGCCGAAAAATTAAAAAAAAAAAAAAATAAATAATAAAAACAAAAAAAGGAAAGGGGAATAATAATAACGGGAGACAAGGCGTGTTCATCCGACAAGATAAATGATATAGTGGGGTGCGCCCAGGAGCTTAAAAGTGCTTTAAAAATGGGACAAGAAGAAATAATCCAACGAGCGCCCATTTTAGTTCTCCAATTATAGCTTCCTACACGGAATGCATAAAGCTCTATGCTTCAAAGTGAAATTGCGTTCATTCTGCATGGGCCAGCGGTATTGCCGACGGGACTAACTGCTCGATGAGGTCGTACGGCCAACATGATATTCAGAGCACGGACTCACCGTGGATGTCTACTCATCTTATTGGCCCAGCTTAGGTGTGATATATCTGGTACATGTTAGAGTGTTTTTCCATTCTCGCTTAAAAGTATATTCTGTATCAAACACCCAGTATGATCAAACTTTTGCGAGTTAGACAGGTCTCAAGCGCACTGATGTGATGTGATGTCTCTACGTTATTTGGAAATCCCAATTAGCCCGACTATGACTAAAGACAATTTTATGCCTGAATTGGTTCGAGTAATCTACTTCAACGATGCCGGACTTCAGCTTGGGAAGTAGCCTATGATCTTCTTCCTTATATGGGAATGATATATAAGGCCCCCCGATCACCGAGTTAGTATTCAGCCTACCCAAGGTAGCAGGCATCCAAGAAAGCGAATAGCAAGCACTGGAAGATCTGGATACAGAGCTATAAGATTATATTCAAACCTTTCGCGGACGGCGACGCTATTAAAACACGGGGTAGAGGTAGTTAAACAGCACCGGCTAGGCTCAGGATCTACTGTGTCACAGACCAGAAAGCAACCCAAGTGTATCTGGGTCGGAAACAATTGTAACTAATGATTGGGGTGAATTTTCGAGAGGAAGATAGGAGAACTTTATCCTTTTTACGGAAAAGCGAAACGATAAGTCGACTCGGGTGTCCATTGCTGTTGATACTTCAAGCAGGCTTAGGCTTCTATCGAAACTATGGGCTGTCGCCAAGGGCTCTGCGTATGTAGTAGGAGCAGATTGGTCCGAACTGCTCGAACCTTTGTTGTTACTGTGCCATCTCATCAGAACAGAGAGATCCTGTTGGCTATATCCCCCACTGTGTACCTTAAGCGATAAGAGCTAGCTGGCAAAATCCCTACCCCGAAAGCTGGAGGTCAGACAAAAATACTGAACGATGTCAAGCTATCAATTGCGAGCCTTTCTTTTAGTCTTGAGATCACTGCTCCTAGACTCCACGCGATCAAGCACAACTAGTGTTGAACATGACCTACCTTGGGAATCACTAGCAAGGCCACGCACGACATATGCGAAGAAACAACAAATAAAACGATACAAAGAGCATTTTCTAATTGCATTATTTGCTAGAATACTTAGTGGGTATTCCCAAATGGAGGTCTTATAAGCTGCCTTTACCTTCGATCTTCCAGTGAAGAGGGCCTGTTCCAGTGTCTAACACACGAAGCCCCATGGGGAGAGATAATGTCGAAGAATAAAATAAGTGGCCGGGGTCAGAGTAAGGTGAAGAGAGGGCGACCACAACTACCACTGAAGGTCCATTAGAGGTTATAGCAAGAAACAAGATGGGAATAATGAACGTATCTGTTCTTGGAGAAGATCAAAATATTTTCTTCCCACAACATTCCGGTTTCGGTTTCATAGCACGGTGGAAATGGATGTGTTGTGTCTGGATTGATATTGGGTCCATTCAAAAGTAATGCGATGAATATTTGAAGGCAGCAGTGATTCATGAGGTTTATCCGGCTAGACTCTTTCCGCGTTCATGTAGCTGCTGCTATGATGCACATAATGTTATCGTTGAGCCATTCTCTTTATTGGCTCTGTATGCTCAACAAAGCAGCAAACAGTTAGGGCATGCTGTCCACAGAAAGAGGATCAGCCTGCAATAAGAATATTATGCGGTAAGATTCGTCGATAATTCTGGTGCGTCAGGATGGTTAGACATGTCTCTCACTGTCAATAGTAAAAGACACCCTTCGGCGTTGTACGCTATACGCCGAGTGAGCAGAGGTATAAGTGAACAATGCAATTCACTTCTGCCCAATAGGCTACTGCATTATAGGCCCTCTGCATGTGAAATAGCCTTATCTCGGACATGAGCACCGACTCGGTCTCCGGCACCCGTGATCCACAGTCGGCGGGACCAACGGCATGCCGGTCAAAATTCGAGATCTACAGATACATATAAGGATCGCCTGGAGCCAAGGAAAGTGTCTGGCACTGTTATTTGAAGTTTCGCTGGACGAGTACCTCTTTCCTTGTCTTGAGGTATGAACCTCACCCATTTGCAAGCATGAGCGAATCCGACCTTGAATCGCAGCCTGCACGAGCAGCAGACGAGGCAATTGAGGAAAAGGTGTCTTCAGAAACGGGGAAGGAAAAGTCAATCATGGGATATGAAATGCCTCTATGGCGAAAATGCGTTATTACATTCATAGTCAGCTGGATGACCCTGGTTGTCACCTTTTCGAGTACATCCCTGATACCAGCGACCCCTGAAATCGCCACAGAATTCAACACCACCGAGGAGACCCTTAACCTCACCAATATGGGTGTCTTATTTGCCATGGGCTATTCTTCGCTAATTTGGGGCCCTCTTAACAAATTACTCGGCCGCAGGACGTCCTACAACCTGGCCGTTGCGATGCTGTGCGGGTGTACTGCGGCTACTGCGGTCTCCGTTAATTTAAAAATGTTTATAGCGTTTAGAGTTCTGACAGGCTTGACCGGGACATCGTTCATGGTATCAGGACAAACGGTCCTTGCGGATATCTTTGAGCCGGTGAGTTTCTATTCTGTTGTGGGCGCGCGTCCCAATAGTTGCCGTACTAAAGCAGCCTGGTCCAGGTTGTCCGTGGTACAGCTATGGGGTTCTTTATGGCAGGGACTCTTTCAGGGCCGGCAATAGGTAATTTTTTCCAGCCTTCCCTATCCTACGACGTAAAACGCAGCCAGAGAACTCAAGGCTAAATTCTATTTAAAAGGTCCCTGCATTGGTGGAATCATTGTCACCTTCTCTGGCTGGCGGGTCATATACTGGCTGCAACTCGGAATGAGTGGTCTCGGACTGATTCTGGCCTTCTTCTTTGTCCCCAACACCAAAGGGGAGGTTGAACCGGACCCCAAGAAGTCTCAGCCCCTTACCGTAGTCTCGGCTATTCGTGAATTCAATCCTTTCCGGATTTTCAAGCAGTGGCTGTACCCGAATGTCTTTCTCGCTGTGAGTACAAATTGATTCCACCCACCTACGGCTGCCATGGTGCCAAGTGAACGTGGGATCCCTACAGATGCTAATTTAATCGAACGAAGGATCTAACATGCGGATTCCTCGCTGTTTTCCAGTACTCGCTTCTTACCTCCGCTCGCGCAATCTTCAACCCGGTCTTCCATCTCAACACTGCCCTGGTCTCAGGCCTGTTCTACCTTGCTCCCGGTGCTGGGTTCCTGGTTGGTAGCATCGTCGGGGGCAAATTTTCCGATCGCACAGTGAAGAAGTGGATTGTTCGTCGCGGATATCGCCTCCCCCAAGACCGGCTGAACAGTGGACTGATAACTTTATTCGGTGTGCTACCTGTCTCGGTCTTAATATACGGGTGGACGCTCCAGGAAAGAAAGGGCGGCATGGCGTTGCCAATCATCGTGGCATTCTTCGGCGGATGGGGGCTGATGGGGAGCTTTAATTGTTTGAATACCTATGCAGCCGGTTGTTTCCTATTTTATTCCCTCGTGGGCGCATGAGACTGACAACTGCATAGAGGCATTGCCGCATAAACGGTACGAGGTCATGGCAGGGAAATACATAATCCAGTATTCGTTCTCGGCGGGGAGCAGTGCGCTTGTGTTGCCGGTGATAAATGCTGTCGGTGTTGGGTGGACATTTACCATCTGTATGGCGTGTCTACTTGTTCGCTTTGTAAAGGCCACGATGACTGATTGACAATAGGTGTGGCCTTTTCGACAGTGGGTGGTTTAATCACCATGTCTATTGCGAGGTGGGGATTGGACATGCAGAGATGGGCAGAAAGGACATTTCGCATACCTGGTAAGCTTCTGTTCATAATTATTGGTTTCCACATATTGATGGGTAAGCCAGAATCATGATAATGAGATGGACGACCATGCGCCCAATGGAGGCGCAAAAATTAGTATGATAGGCATACTAATCGAACCGGGAAATAAAATAGATGTATAGACATTGCGAGAAAACCTTCCTAGACCAATCCACTGGAAATAGAATTAAGCAGCTATATTACATCTGGACTGTTTCTCAGAGCCGAGGCTTCATGATCTTTGCTCGAATTACTGAATGGGACTAGAGAGAAAACAACGGCGCCAATCCCATCCCTACCAGATGCCGCAAAGTGGACTTGCAATGGAGATAGAACATGCATACGGGCCTATCAACAACGTGCAAAGCTCGGAAATGCTTGGTCCATACCCTTCCCATGTAACGCGACCCACAATGATCTACGGCCGCAATGTTACTTGCCACCGTGTCTATCTATCTCCTTTGAAACATCGGCGTTCGGCGGCCGGGATAGTGGGTCGAATGCCATATCCAATATCCTTCGTATCAATGATAGCTCCGACAAAAGTACGAAAATATAACCTCGGAGAGCAGGGATGACATTCCTTCGCTTTACCCGAGAGGACTGGATTTCATTTCCGAACCTATGCTAAAGGCCTACCTCGAAAATTATCGGGTCAAGACGGCCACGTGTAATTCCCTTGATGAGGGCTTTGTCGAGATAAGACGCTCTTACTCAAGTATAATGATGTTCATGTGTTTGATTATGGCAGAATTTTGTTATATTGTTTATCAGACTACTTAATAATACGAGCTAGAAGAGTCCCCTAGCTAGTTAGGGTATTGCAAGCCGGATAATACGGTGGAATTAAAATAGATTTATATTCATTCTAGCTCGTCAAGTTAAACTAAGAATTTTCGCTAATGCGACCCTTATGCGAATGGCGATTTCACCGGGCTATTCAACAAATCGAGCAATGGCCGGATGTCGTCGGCGGTGTCCAGGTTAAGCACAAGATCTTCAATAGCTTTGACCTTCGTTGCATCAGTCACACTGGTTGCAAGGTTGCGGTATTTTTTCAGGATCAGCGAATTCGGGATGGGTTCCTTGACTCCCTGGGGTTTCTCAACGGTCTCCGAGACCTGGGTGCCATCATTGAACTCCACCAAAACTCGGCCTGAGCTAACACCATAGAAAGCATCGAACTCCTCGCTACGAGATGAGGAAATCTTCTCCGCCAGCTCCCAGACCTCCGGCCTTTCGAGGTTGTTATCATGTTCGGAGAATTGAGCCAGTAGGCACTGCTGGTCGACCATCGTGGCGGCTAAAATATAGGAAATACTCATTTGAGCTGCGATCGAACTGATGGGTCTTTCACTGGGGATCCATCCGCAGTGGCTATAGGAAGAGCTGCACAATTGCACATGTGCATGGCGGATGTTCTTGAGATTTGATTTCGCAAAGAGGTCGGGATACTTCTTCTGCAGGTTTTCGAGTGCCTCAACGGCGCCATGGGTAAGGCCACAGCAAGCATACAGCTTGACCCGAAGTGTGAACGTATGCCAGAATGTGCCCAGCTCCGCTGTCACCTCTTCTTCTTTGTAAGCGGGTGTTTTGCCATTGCCTTTCGTGAACATGGTGAGGAAACCCCCATATGGGACTTCCAGGACGCCTTTCATGGCCTCGTAGCCACCATGCGCCAAGAGGCCTCCGAGGAGCCCATTTCGCGACGCAAATCCATGCTGCACCCGCTTCACCATACCTCCGTACTGCGCGGACATCAAGCCGCAAGCTTGGGTACATGCGATTCCTACAGCATCCTCCATAGACTCCGGGGAAAGACCGAGGAGCTTTCCTGAGGCCAAGGCACCAGCCGGGGCACCATAGACTGCACCACAGTGCCAGCCGTTGTTCAAGAGATCAGCTCCGTAGATGGCCTTGCCAATTCGGGGACCTGTCTCAAATCCCACGATTGATGCCAGGATAACTTGCAGACCTGTCACAGCTTTCTCTTGTTGATTCAATACTTCACTTGCGGCAAATATGGCTGGCAGAGCAATGCTTGCTGAGTGGAGTGGAGCTTCGCTGTGGTAGTCATCCAGTTCGGTTGCTTGGATGAATGCAGCGTTCATCATCGCAGCTGCAATGGGACCCAATTTCTATCACCGAAATATATCGTTAGATCCATTGAGTAGGACGATCAAACTAGAGGCATTAGAGAACTCACCTTGTCGTACCCAATTATACTGCACGAGCCGGCTGGCTCGAAGCCCATCGTCGCCTCGGCATACTTCTCAGACCATGGCACCTTTGCGCCCACGAGCGCACAGGCAATACCATCAAGAATGAGATACTTCGCCCGCTCCAAGACATCGGCTGGGATATCTTCAGCCTTCAAGTTGGATGCCCAGTCGCAGATTTGAGCGGTAACTCCCTTCTGGCCGTTCTGGGCAGACTCCGTCGCATGCATCTTGCTCAGTCAGATTGAGTTAGAATAGAAGAAGATAGAAACAATAAAAAGGAAAGGAAGGCCTGGTATTTGGGTTCTGCACAGAGTACAGGTGCAGTGATGGTTGTGCCACGAACTGCCCAGTATATATATGTCCCATCCGGAAGCCAGGTAGTATCACTTCCAGGTCATCACGGAAGTCATCTCTTATCACAAAGGAAAAATGCAACGCAGACTTTGCATTCGGATTACGCTTTACTAGACCTGCATCGACACATCGTATAACCAACTCTCCACACACATGGGTACCACGGCATGATTTGGTTCGCTGATTCTACCGAGCCCCCGACGCTATCTCAGCTGGAACAGTTCTGCCTAGGGCTAGACCATTTCTCCTACGCCATACCGGCTATTTTTGTTCTGGCTCAGAAGCACGGCCTTCGGACGCCGGTTTTTATCGGCTGATGCGATAGGCAACTTAGATGAAACAACACTCCAACATGCTATTCGGGATTGGCACAAGATGGGAGGGGGCAAGGCGCACGTAACGAGCCATACACGTCTCTCAAATGATGAGTCCCTAAATGCAGCATATCACGACCCACTTCACGGGGCCCGGCCGCCGGATCGACAAAGCCGTGATGCCCAAACGATAAGCCATGGGAACGGGGAAACTACGACGACAACTTATGATAGTTTCATTCAAGGATTTGTGACCATGAGGATAGTAAACAAAGATCTGAGGTACTATAAAGCCAATCAACATCACGCATATTTTGGTCTTGAACTGGGTAAAATTGCCTCACAAAAGCTCAGGCACCTACTACGATGGATTCCAGAGTCAAGACTGGCTTTGCTCTTCAGGAGAAAGCCACTATCCGGGAAACTTCTAAGAATAAGGTGCCTATTAAACGGATTCATTAATCAAGCGTTGTTCACCATGCTAATTGCCCTTATCGAACAGACAAAAGGTCTCCCAGCATTGTTTGCGGGTGCCTGTGCGGGTGCTACTGAAATCACAATCACTTATCCGTTCGAGTGTAAGTGAAACTCAGCGTGGTTGTACATATGTGCTAACCACAGGCTGGAATTGCTAGCCGCGAAAACAAGAGCCCAGCTCGAGAGGCGACTCGGCAAAGAGAAGCTCCCGAGTGTGAAACCTGGAATCAGAGGCTGGTATGCTGGATATGCCGCTACAGTGACAGGAACCGCGGTGAAGGCTGCCGTGCGTGAGTGGAAGCATTTGAATCTAGCTTCGCAGGGGATATTCTTGCTTACTTCAATCCGCAGAGTTTTCTTCGTTCCATATCTACCGGTCCGCTCTCGCAGGGCCAAATGGTGAACTATCAACAGCAGCGTCCATGATTGCCGGATTCGGCGCAGGAGTCACTGAGGCAGTGTTGGCTGTGACGCCTGCAGAGGCGATCAAAACCAAAATGTAAGTTTCCACGCCGACAGACGTTATTCTTCCTGTTAAATGAAATTTCACAGTATCGATGCAAGGAAGGTTGGGAACACTCAAATGAGCACGACTATGGGGGCGGTGGCGGGAATCTTACGACAACATGGACCGGCCGGATTTTTCTCGGCTCTTGGTCCCACGATTTTGCGTCAATCCAGTAATGCTGCTGTCAAGTTTACCGTTTATAGTGAGCTGATGGGTGCCGCACGGCGCTATTCTGGAAAGGACGTTCACCCGCTTGTCAGCACTCTCGTCGGGTCGGTAACCGGTGTTTGTTGCGCTTGGTCGACGCAACCATTGGATGTTATCAAGACTAGGTAAGTCCAGAAGTCGTCTTTGAGTGGCCAGAGCTAACGCGTACAGGATGCAATCTCTCCAAGCGAGGCAATTGTACGGCAATGCTTTCAGGTGTGCTAGCATCCTCTTACGGCAAGAGGGCATTGGAGTGTTCTGGTCTGGAGTTCTGTTTAGGACAGCAAGGCTGTCACTTACTTCAGCCATTATGTTTCCAGTGTAAGTTTGTTTCGTCTGAACGTGCAGTCGCTACGGTACCTGACGTGCTTCTAGTTACGAGAAAGTGTATGCGTATGTGACGCAGGCAAAGCATTGAAAAAGGCATGACTGCCAGTGCAAACTGGAATATCCCCTATGCGTGTCCCACTTATTCGCTATGTTCGGTTTCAGTTGGCGCGATCCCTGTAGTTGATAGAGTTGATTCAAGATTGCGAGTTTGCATTATATAAAGAGATTAGAGAATACAATGAATACTGCCCGCAAGGCCAATCTATCTTATCATACCGGCCTTTATAGAAGATTCAGATCAGGTCCGTGGGGCAAAAGCTAGTATTGTAGACTGAAACAGCCCAAATGCTGCCCAAAGAGGCCACGCTATGCAAATACTGGCAGCGAGAAGTTGGTATGCCAAGGAAGTCTCGTTGGCGTGCAAATTATGTTGCTGCCAAGGAAAAAGAGAATGAGGAGCTGAGAGCCTGTGGTAGAACGTACACGCAAGGATATGATCACACCATCCCGGCTGAGTGCCAACCAGGCAACAACAAAGTAGGGCAGATCTAAAAGCTCTGAGCCATATCTGGGTTACACATGGAGCAAGGTCTTTTTGCCAAGACGGCAAAGGCGCCGCCTCTTAGATTATGGCCGTCAGCTAAATACGAGGGTGCATCTACTAAGTATTGACCAGGGTATGATTATGAGCATGGTCCCGGTTCATACGAGTGACTCAGGTTCGGATTAGACGAATCCTCTGGAATTCTGCATAGCCCTGTTTATCTGATAATAAAGAACGTAGGCTCTTGTAGGAACGTGGAAGATAAGATTGAGGTACTGTGCCTTCGTGCCTATTGGTCCGCAGTTAGCACCACCCCGTACTAGAATTCGGTGAGCCCAAGCGCAGTGGACCGCTAGGCATTTCCGGCGGTCCGGTGGAAATCAATACAGAGGTTATAGCCAGGGCTGGACCCGAGGACCCTCGGGAGTCGTTATCGGACTGCATTTCGTGCTAAGCTAAGGGTTACATTCTGTGGAATTACCATATTAGCTAATTAAAGTCCCGAAAGGGTGCAACTACCAAGACTGGCGCTTGATCGACACCTAGTTGCAAATCTATAGGCCTAGGCGGCGGCAGTTCGTATCTCGACCTTGCACATTTCTTGTTGGCCCACTTCTTACATTGCCTAATTAGAAACACTAGACGAATTACGACACGCTAATTGGCCAGCATGCTACAGGAATTGTCGCTCCCGATGGCCTCGATTCAATAAGAGGTTCTCTTGAGTTCGGTGACCGAATCATATGCACACGTATGGCACCATCTACGGAGGGATATTGAGAGATATTGCCTTCCTGCTTAGCATAGTGTAGTGACCAAAGACCACGGACCTTCCTACAGCCCATAATAACGGATAAATGTTCATCTGATTTGAAAATATTCATTGACTCTACTAAAATTCGATGTGGGGTCAAGAATCGCCCTAGAGGGCTGAAAGAGATCCCAGCTCATGTCACATCCTACAGGTGCAGATAGTGTACTCGCCATAGCTGACTCCTAATGTGACTCATCATATGGGATAGCCGCGGCGAGGCAGAGGGCGTGCCAAATGCTTCATTAAGGCAGTGGCAGGTCAGGAGCAGTATCCTTCTCGTTCCATTCCACCCTCTCTAGCCTCGCCACATGTGAAACGGGTTGGTTGTGGATCTCAGGGATCCTACCCGAGTCTGTATACGGACTGCCGACTTGAGTCAAACAAGGATTCTGCCCTGGAATCTATGCCAATCAATAGCCCCGATCAGATCACATCCTGAACCCTGCCAAGTCGTCTAATTCACTTACTCAATTCGGATACCCACCCGTACAGGCCCAAGCAAATCAGAAGTGTAGTCTACATTAGGTGACGATCCCCTGCGGACCGTTCAGCGCGGACCGTTCAGCGCGGAACGCGGATGTTCAACTGATAACCGATAGTGGTGGATGATATACATATATTGCGCTTCAGAGAGGTGGTGATCACTGCTATCTTAGGCGTGTAATCCGTGCAAGTCCGCACGGTAACAAGCCTGCCAAGCCGGCGCACGCAAAGCTTATGCAGTGCGAACTCTCCGACCAATATCTAACGCTTACTGTCGGGCCAGCGTTCTGCAGCCTACGGTTTCCCGCAATGTAACGCTAATGCTGCCAAGGATTGGTATCCCGGAAATCTTGCGCCTATCCTTGCCCCGAGGTAAGCAATACGAATGCGTGTCGACGATCCAGATAAAAGAGCATGGGCAAAAATCCTTTTCCACACGTTTTATGGCTCGTATGCCCTGCTTTGGTTGTGAAACATGTTCTATCGGAATTAGGCGGCGTTTGTTTTGTGTTTCGACAGGCTCTGCGGCCAAAGAACTTCATCATATCCTTCGTATACCTCATGTGTTCAACTTGGGCTAAACAATGCAGGTGCCCCCGCGCGGGTGGGGGGAGGAGCTGGATGTCTGAAATAGAAACGTATGGCAAGACGCGATGATCCCTAGCTTCCGCTTATGCAGCTACTTCGCTAAATAATCCGTGCACTTCTACCAATCAGGTCAGCTAATGCTCTATCGACGGATTGCGTTGAACTCATTCGAGATGATGCACTATCAGCAAGCAGTACTTTCCAACTGAACGATCTTGCGATCTGCATTGCCCTCAGCCCATGGGTTTCTGTATTTATTCGTTGGCTCTGGCTCTTACTGGGCCAGCTATCAGAAAGTCTGACTAATGCAAGACCACCTCCGAACGCCATGTGTAGCGACGAGGAAGCTGCGCAACGACGATACATGGCCGCTTGCGACGAGTGCAGAGTGCGTAAAATCAAATGCCACAAAGACAAAGCACACCCTAAATGTTCACTTTGCCTCAAGCAAAGTCTCCCCTGTCTATATACCAACAAGAGCAAACGAGTGAACCACACTACGAAGCTGTACGTGACACGCTCTGAGTCATTTTTCTGAATGTGTGTCTGATCCTGTTGATCTTTCCATGCCTCAGGGTGCGCGATGTCGAACAGCTTGGCAACCGGCTTGGTAAGATTGAGGTAGCACTGGAGCGGTACTTATCCTTTATGGGATCCCCCAAGCATAACCTCGATGCCTCTGGGTCCCAAACTGGAGACTCGATCCGACTTCTGGAACACAGTACGCCCAATCTCCTTCAAGGCCCTGGGCATATTGCACCAGCTGGAGATCAAGCACGCGAGCCACCTTTTGGCCCCAGTTCGATTCCGTCACTCTGTGCTGAGGCGCAAGCCACCTGCGAGAAATTGGCTTCATCATTGGACATGCTAGATGCAGGTGAAGAGAAAACCTTCGATTCCGACACTAATACATCATCCTTGTTGTTCAATGTGGCACAAGCCAATAAATGCATGCAATACATGATTCAAGAAGTTCCTCTGTCAACGGGGCCCGGGGACGATGGTGTCACCCCCACACTACCACCTCGCACACTTTTGGAAGCTTCCATCCAGCCATATTTCACGTACATAAGCTCATTCCTCCCTATCTACGAGCGGGAAACAGTTATAGCAGCCATAAGTGACCAGTATGCTGCAGACTCACCAGACCTGGTGTGGATCATTTCTTTCAACAGTATTGCACTGCAGGCTCTCGACGCAAAATTGGTTGCAGCTAAGGATATCGAAAGTATAGGATATGGTGGTATTCTGGAAGACGCTCTACTATATCAATTAAGGATGAATCTGAGACGATGTTATTGTAACTTGGAAAAGCTGGCTCATCCGAGCTTGGTTAACGCCCAAGCCCTTTTGAGCATGGTAAGCCAACCCCAAACCTGACCGGAAAAGTTGACACTTGAAAACATATTCTGAGTTTAGTCTACCCAGGCATCGGTAGCTTTAAAATATTTCCACTATAACATCTTCGAAACCGTTTTTGTACAGGCCTGTCAAGTATCGCGGTCGATCGGACTTCACCGGAGATCCACAAAGGAGAGGGAAACGCACACTGAGCAGACCAATGTATTCTGGTCGCTTTTTATAGTTGATGTACGATGCTCCATCTTCTTATTGACGAAATAAACCAGCTAACACTCAGCTCCAGAAGCATGCAGCCTTCATTTCCGGTAAGGCATGCCTGCTACCTTCCTACGATTGCAGCGTTGCGTTGCCCTATTTGAGTTCTAATCAGACTCTCGCCGAATACTTCGCCGCTAGGATCCGATTGTCTTACCTACTCGAGCAACTCTATCAGGTTCTGTATTCAGCAGACGCCACAGGGAAAGAGTGGCGGTGCATGGGTCACCAAGCTCGCAAGGTTAGTCGGCAACTAGACGACTGGGCTACGGAGCATGAACACTTGCTGTGGCCTGATCCTTCATCAGGCTTCACTCAACAAGCCTTTTGCGCGAGGGAATTGAGGCATGCCCTCTCGACCTGTCAGCTACTTCTACACAGACGCACCGAAGTTCCTGGAAGCGAGATTCGTCTGCAAAGCGCTCGGACATGTCTGTCTCTGTTCAAAGAGGTTTGTGAAACCTATGGTTTGCTTGAAGTCTCTGGGTTCGGTGTGTTTGATAGGTAAGATACCCCTGAGATCTTACCCTATCGGATATCATTTGACTCACAGGCATATATACATAGTATCATTTTGTACCACTCCCTCGCCCCCTTCATAGAGATGTTCAGTCACATGCTCGGAAATCAACAGCACAACGATATCGAACTACTCACCTTCTTCTCCTCAAGATCGGAGTTTTTAGCAGCAAATACATGCCCGGAATCCAGTACTAACAAAATATGCATCATTGCCAGTCTGTGTACACAAATCGTACATAGTCTTCAGATCCTTAGAGAGAAGCAATCAGTCCAGCTCTTCACGAATGCTTCACCACAAATTGCTCTTCCCAATCACAATGTCTGGAGCAATACCACATCGAGATCCCACAGCGTCTCAAGCTCATCGATGTGCCTGAGCACCGGAGGCAACGAAGCACAGCTCTGGAATACACACCCACACGCAGTTGGTGTGCCATTCGACACAGCAATGATGAATGTAGCACCCGCTAGCAGTGTCAATTACAGCACGCTGCTTGATGGGTCCACTTCATACATTGAAGAACTTCCCTTCGGCCTAAACTCTCCTAGGCTGGGGCAGCTAGAAGGTACTTTTGATGGATTACAAGGATTCAGATGGGATGCAGATCAGTTCTATGACACTCACGATGATACTAGTGTGCTTCAATGATTGGGATTATTTTTTTCCCTACAATTTTTCTTTCTCTTTCACGGGGTATAGAGGCTCAATGATAGACATACAAGACAAATTCAAGCCTAAATTTGCATCATGCATCTCGCACTGCCCAACAGAGTTCGTATGCAAGTAACTTCCTACAATATACTATTAGGTGCAAGAAGGGGATGGAATTCGTCCAATGTCCTGAGCGCAGAGGGATAAATGTGAAATGCAAGCCAGTTAAAAATAATAGGGTAAAGATTCTATGAACTACTATAAGGGTCATCTTGTCAACCGGGAATTGAAATAGAGATATAGAGTTCTAAGGATCTAACTAAAATATTATACTGGATCTAGATAAGTTGAATATTTATTTAACTAAAATAAAATATTACTAATCTAATTAAATATTACATTTGATTAGAGTTAACATAAAAGACCGTTACAGGGGATTATCTATTTTTAATTAGATTAAAAACAGCTATAGGTTAAAGCTGCCGCAAACCCGACCTGACAATCACTCTAATCTTGCATCGTCAGCTTTTTCATCTCGAAAACATTATTCACGGCCATGTACTGATCATGCCTGAGTCGCGTCAATGGAGCTGCTTTCAAAGCATCAAGTAACTGCGTTCAACATATTAGTTAATTATATTGAAATGACAGGAGAAGCGAAATAAAACGCCCAAGTCATAGGAGAAACATTCCATCGCTTGTGATGTGATCTCTCTTGATATGTATTCCCGCAACACCTCCGATCACCATGACAGACGTGTCAATGAATAAGTCTCCTTAGATCTGCAAAGACGGAGTGAACTTTACACCCAAAGCTTACCGGGGATTCAACAACATGAGGCCGTCTAACTAGACGAGATGGTGCATTGGTAAAGCCAGCAATGGGGAACTCCTCATCCCAAGTCATCGGAGAAGAAGCATTGACAGAATTTGAGGCCATATATGCAACACATTGTTCAGCATTTCCTTGCTCCCAATTACCTTCTAGACTGTTGGTCAAGGAAAAACTTCGTCGGAGGTGCAAACGGGACACTATTAAAGCGACTGAAGGGACCCAGGTTGTCCTGCCCGGATTTACTGGTATTACTTATCTACCCAACTGGAGGGGAGTCACGCACCTCTTAGAGGAACCATGAGTCAAGCCAGGCCGATGCCCTTTTGAGGGCTCGTAGAAAACGTCACCCTTCGCCATCTTAGGGTATGTGGTTGTGGATAATTGGTAACGGCTCGAACAGTAAGCATGCATGTGTCGTGTATAGGACCGCAGGTGGTACATGCTTTCTTAGTGATATGTAAATTTGAAGAGTGATTGAGGCCACTCCGAGGAACAGAAAGGAGCCAAGCTGTTCAATATTAGTTATCGTCCTTGCCGAAAGCCATGCGCATCATCCGGCCTTTTCGTCCCTACTGGTATCTTGGTCTTCACACTGAAGCCAGACTGGCTCAGTAGGCACGACTCGGTCCCTGTCGTCAGAAGCCAGTCTGCTTGCACCGCATAAAAACCGCGGCTTTCTGTTCAAAGCGCGAAAGTCTTCGCAACCTAACCCAATCGCAAAATTGAACGCGCGAAAACCGCAAGATGCGGCCCTAGTGCACTTGAAACTGGTATTCCTACTCGCAAAGCCAGCGACTATACCACCCAACTATGCCTCGCACCGTTCATATATTTCCTTGGCGATTTTTCTGCACAAATGATCGGTTATGATGAGTTCGATCATAATCGTTCCCTCCGATGTATCATCAGCCCCGCCTCGTTATCGCAATCCCTAGCCGTGAAAGATTTCTATTTCTCGAGCGACAGTTCAACTTCAGTTCGGCATCCCTCAATGTAAAGGTTGTTGTCAACTAACTCTTCTAGAACCGGATGTTCGTGGTGTATTTCTTTGCATTTCAGGGACTTCTTTCCGGGAAGGGCGTCGCGGGCGCAGTTGAACGAGTCAAAAGCACAGTAGTACCAAAACGTATTTCGAGCTTGCTATACTGGCCCTTGGTCACCTTCACAAGCATCAAGCCTCAGTCTCGCTCAGTTGTTACATCGACATTTGCTGTGTTCTGGCAATTGTACTTGAGTTGGCTGACCAATCTGGCGGGAAAGAGAGCGGAGAACTGCTATTCTACATCACGCGACGCGACTATCTGGGACGATGCGGACCGTCAGTTATTGATGTTTAATGATAACTGAGAAGTCGCTCCTGGTCAATGGATACTGTTCTTCAAGCCTTGTGCTACTCGTAGACGTCTACATGGAGCAAATAGCTACCCTACATTAGCAATTTACTGCTCAATTTGATCCTTTAACAACACAACTACCTGGTGTATAAACCCTAATTGATAAAAGAACTCATACATACGACCATATGGTGTGGAAATCAGGGCTTCCCGTCCGCTCAGCCGTACTTAAAACCCATTGAATTCGCGTGGTCAATAAGTAAAGAGCACTTTAGTTAATTAAAAAGTTGAAACATGGGTGGCAAAGCTATTAGTATGAGGGCTCACGATAGGGTACTGGTCTCTATAAGTTCGTAGCAGTGGTGATGCTGGCCGGGCACCCTCGTATGCTGATTTTCGCTATACAGCAATGAGAACTGCTGCGATGAAGTACAGATAGCCTGTAAGAGTCAGGGCGCTAGCTAGTAAATAAAGGAAGTGACTTCCTTATCGGATCGCATTTATTGTTTTCATATTCTATTACTCATATTCATCTATATATACTATCACTTTAGTCACATAACTATAGACGTAGCCGAATATTTGCAGAAGCGAGCGGAGGAATTCAAATGCCTAAAGTCCGTTTTTCTTTTCTTTGGGTCCTTGTGGGGCAAGAGATTTTCTTGTTGATATCTATTTATCTTAAGCAAGTGCTGCTCGGTATTGAATAACAAATAGACATTATTGGATATACTAAGAGATTTTCCTCCCACCCCTCGAATTCTCACCACTCAGGAGGGAGACTGGTCTCTTAATCGTCCAGTAGTCAAGCTACTAGACAGCCCCGAATTCACGTAATCCGCGCCCGGGTTGATTATACAACCAAGTTGGCAGTTTCCCACATAGCCTCTACAACCTCTTATATCTGCTTTATTCAACTTGTCTTTATTCATCCCCTTTATTTAAAAAACCTTTACCTCAAGTGAGCTGAGTACAGACGGCTATAGATGCATACAAATTCAACTACATTGGTAAGTAATAAGAGTGCCTTAAAAAAGAACTATAACAGCTTCGCTAGCCAGTTGTATGTCTTGCACCCCCTTCGCTGATAAAGACATAGCGGGAGCGAGCTAGCCAGAATCTCAACACCAATCCTCCATTTATTTCATAGTTCCCACGGTAACATTGCGCACTCTTTGACCTCCCGGATTACCCCTAGTGTGCAGATGCACAGACAATTCATTATTTGCATGTTTTCTTTTTGCATCTTCCTCATCCAATTCGAACAGAGGCACAAATGCCGTAGTACTTAGGTGTGTCTGGCAGTTTGCGCAGCCCTGCACATGCCATCTACTAAGCACAGATTCAATAGCTTTTACTTGTGGCTTCCCAGGTTGGTCTGTCTGCGAGATAGCCAAGGCGAAGGAGCCGGCAATATTAGCACGGTTGATGCCGGAGACACGTAGTATTGGTGGAGAATGTGGGTAGCTGGGATTCGGCTCATCATTGAATACGGAACCTGAACCGGTGCGATATGTGGGCGCCTTGTATGTGTAGGGAAGATCTCTCAAGGTCAGGAGTTTCTAGAAGGCTTCGTTAGAAATAGCAGATGCATATCTCGATACCCATAAGCTTACATTTGACGTAACCTTCTCTCCGTTCTCTCTGAATGGCTCAAGGGGAGTGTCTAAGGTCAGCCAGGTGTTGCCAGAGATTCCAGGTGTTGGACCTTGGCTATCAACACTGTTCGTCCCAGGATACTCCTGCAAGATTGTTATTTGGTCAGCCTCCGTCTTCTTGTGTATCGTCTGCCAGGTCCAGAATAGATAGTCAATAAAGCAATGATGAAAGTAAAAGATCGGATCAAACGAGGCGGTGTCGTTCTCCCCCATATCACCATTGGCGCCAGCATATTGATCGACATTAAAACCTGGAATTTGGACTCCGCCAATAGCAAGATGCATGTCATTATGCGGGCTTTCCAGGGGAACAGCAAGCGAGGGTGCTTTAGCTCCTGCTTCTTTAACGCCCAACTCCAGAGGTTGGAACTGCTCATCATTCCATCGCTGAGCCGAAGTTGTATTGGAGAAGACAGTGTACTCTTCCGTCAAGAGACACTGACGAATTTTCCAGCGAGTGTCCGCCTTAACTTGTTCTCCTTTAGTATCGGTGAATTTGCCCAAATTAAGCCATGATGTGACATTTCTGTTCAACAGATCAGTAATTTTCTCGGGTTCAAAATTGGTGTCAAGGAAATCGTTGTGCTGTTGGGCTATCGCAATGTCATCCTGGCCACAAAGGCCAGAATAAGGGTATCGGCAGGTTTTATAGCCCTTGGGCTTGCTGTAATCCGCATCGGGAAATTTTGCTAAGCGGTCGACAATCTTTTCGCTAAATGTATAGGAGTACAGTGGATTGAACTTCCCCTTGTAGTATTTCTGGGTGAAAATCCACGGAATTCCGTTTTTCGCCGTTTCATCGTCACTTTCATCCCAGTATGGGAGCGAGACGTCTGGACACGCCTTGCGCAGAGCTTTCTCTACCGCCATCAAATACGCACGATGCCAGGTTGGAAACAAGATGTTTCCATGATGACAGTATCCCCCCCACCACTGGGGGTTGTTGTATCCCGCACCTCGGAAAGGCTCACCATGCAATCCAGCAAGGTAGAAAAAGGAATCTTCGCCTGTTCTTGCGGGGTCTTGGATCCATTTCCAGGCCTTGATGAGTTTATCTAGCTCTTCCTCGTTAAGGTCTCGAATTGACTTGCGTTCCGCTTGCGTTTCAACTGTTGCTTTCTCTCTAATCTCAAAAGTTTTGATGGGTTCGGCAGAGGCCATTGTGCAGCAAGGTAATCAGAAGCTGGACTAGTGTTGACTTGGGCTTTAATGAGCAAACTGTACTTTTCCTTAGAAATGATATTTCGAAATTGAGGTAGCGGGTATTCAGACGAATTTTGCTCATCTTAAGTATCCATGAGAGGCTTTATCACGAGAAGCATTGATAATGTAGCGGTACGCACCACCATTTTACAAGGTAGACTAAGCCGGGATTCACAAGAAGAACTGCAGTCCATGTCCTTCATCCTTCAAAAGCTGGCGTCACAGCTAGGTGAGGCAATTACACATCCCATGTGACTCAATCTGCCGATTATAATCGTATGCCCGATTGGTTAGTTTCAGTAGTCTAGTGAGTGTCTGTTTAGATATCGATTGTTCATTCGTGGGTTCAATAGCCAGGGCTCCAAGGATGTATTTTCTGGCAATCGACTTTGACATAGTCAGTTTCTTCCTAGAATGCAGATTTTTTTTATTCTTTCATGAGCCCTAATGTCTATGAGGGTCGAGACCGTCCATTGCTTTGGTTGGGTATGAATCTTACAAATATGCGATATATCACCAGTAAACACCAATGATCCCTTTTCCTGCCATACCGACCGGTATGCAAACCTTTCCTACGGTACAATGAGACTGGTGAAATTCGCCTTTTTAGCGCCATACTACTGCATGTTACGTCCTCTCAAGCAGTCATGACAGCACAGCAGCTGCATTGAGTTCCAAACTAAGATTAGATCTTAATTTGTTTATGGGGGTGGAAAGGTGGCGAGCTGAATGGCTAGTGGCAGTCAACGTCGTCGGCACGGACAGAAAGGCCGAGATCCTCAGAGGTGCATCAGGTGCAACGTCCTCGCAGTACCCCGTAGTTATAGCTAGATCCGCCGTACTTTGAAACGTACGCTTGATTGGTCCGAGGATGTTCCCCTCATGGCTACCGTACTTCGTCTTACTGCTAGCGCTGCGGTCTAATTTAACTCGCCGGAGCAATGTTCCCTTCAATGCAGGATAAGGATACGAGGGCTGGCTGACCTATTTAGGATTCAGCTGTGGCTACCTGGGCAACATTTGTGTTGTCGTCGGATTTTACGCCCCATCTAATCAAGCTAGACAGGTTGCGGTTACTATCACGGCCCAAATGGACAACTTCACACAGATCTTCAAACACCTGTACCTCCACAGCCCCACCCTTCCAGCCACAATTAATCTCAATATAGTACCAGCTGACAGTATAATAAATGTCTCATGCAGCCACAATCACAAAGCAGAAATAGCAATAGTTCTTCTAGTCAGAAGCAGAATCTGAGAGTAGTTTGCGAGTCTAGACGAATTAACTGAGATGCGCAACTAGAATGAACCAAAGCTGTCCTAATAAAACAGAAAGGGATACGAAAGGTCTTGTGACGATACGTGCTCACCCACTGGATCCGGATTAACCAGCAATGTAATGTAATCTGCCCTAGAGGCACCATTACATACATGGGAGTCAAGAACGATTTGAGCCCAGACCAGCATTATCATCTTTCAGCTCTGTGTGTTCGGTCCACTCGTTTGCATGGTGGTCGCCTATGGCCTGGCTGCAAATGACACGCTGCCAACTGCTTCCTTATCTGGGTTGTTCTACGAATTCGACTTCTCGTCCGGAGAGAGTCTTTCCGCTATCAATTCCACGCACTCGGGGTAAAGTTGACGATGAGAGATCTACTCAGCAAGCCACCGCATGCTTGGTCGGGACACATTGCTAATGTGTTGTTCGTAGAAAATATGAGGCTATAAATGAGGCTGCTGTGCAATATGGGTTTCCTTCCTCCCATGATCTTCTAGTTTCCTCCATCTTTATCATTTTGCTGGATAATATTAAGCTTAACAATTGTGACCGACCATGGATAGCTGCGCGTCGAATCTTTCGAGCGAGAAATATGGCTATGACTTCGTCGTGGCAACTACACGGGCAAGCAATAACTCAGAATTGAATTGTGGGAGTTTTTTAGCGAGGAAGACTAACCGTTCAGCTACACCTGCTTCCTTGCAGATCCAGTCACAGGATACGTCACCAAGTCAATCACTCTACCTGAGCTTCTGAATCTCACGCATCAAGTGAATCCATTTGACATCCCCGCGGATACCCCTTGGAGCGACCCGCGGATCCAGGCCCTGAGAAAAGTTTACTTCGCTGTTGGAGTTGGAATCCAAATGGGCCTGCCTCCCTGGTGTAGACGAATTTTCCCCCAATTGTCAGCCTTGAGGAAAGCGCAAATAGTGTGACATTTAACATATTTTACTCACAGATAACCGTCGTCCAACTCCAGCCGCCTGGTTGGGGCCCCAATGGAACGTGGAACGCTTGGGGCCAAGAAGATGGTGACCCATGGTACATCCAGACGACCGTTGATCTCGTCCGGGGGGATCTCTACAATATCTCAATACGTCCTATTTTAAATCCCATCCGGCTGTCACAGAAAAGTTCAGAAAAGCACTGGGCAACCTATCAGGCACATCCTTAGCTTGCAACAACTGTTGTTTGACCTGGACAACGCGGTCTTGCAGAGCGGTTCTACCTTTAAGGGTGTCCCCCCACACTGCCCTGCTTGGAATGTTCTGCAAGACAATTTCATCTCTATCTACAGTACCCATGTCAAGAAGCACGGCTTGCCACTTGTCAGCGTGACAGCGGTCTCACTTTCGGCCGACGAGTCACAACTAAACATGACTGCTTTTGAGCGCCAGGTGAGCCCTCTGAAAGGCTACAATGGAGAGAGGATCCAGGATCCACCAACACTCAGCAAGTCAGCAACCGCTCTGGACTATCTTTGCGCGGCCAACGGCCATAGTCTTCCAGGTACTGCAAGCTTTGAATGGAACTGGGTGCTGCCCAAGGATATCAACAACATTAGCGATGTTATTGCCGTGAAACGCGAAATTTTCGCCGGGTATCTCCGAGATGAACTGGTTTCTTTAGTTGCACCATATTGCATCGAGCTCACGTGCACCATCACGGATTATCCCGAAGACTTTGATAATCCTGCCAAATTCAATTTGGACCTGAAAGACGGGCAAACACCTGATATTGCCTCCGCCTCAGGCAATGAGATTTCATATTCGGCCACCGGATATCAGGGGAACGGATACAATGGTGTTACTGGGGAAGTACTTGAAGTATTCAAAGTTGTGTCAACCTATAAGTTGAATGCCAAGTTTTCCGGAGAGACAGTGACTGTCTCGCACCATCTCTGCTTCTCTGCCACTGTCAGATAAAATATGCTCGGCCCTCAGAGTTTCAATCCGTTCGACAAGACAGTAACCACTACATACACCACCTCGGTCGATGGAAACGGGCGCTTGGTACTTATTAAGGAGCTCCCCGAAGTACCAGTTGACAAGTCGCAGGACCCAGACTTTAAGGGGCTCTGGGGTATGTATGGCCTGGGGGGGATATTGCCCACCGGCTTAGAAACCAAGTGTGGGCTAGTGTCCAGTTTGGCTACCTGTAATTCGTTCAGTAAAGAAAGCAGTAAAGAAACACTGTTGCTGGGTTGGATTATAGTTTTGAAGCCAGGTATCCTGTATACTGCCAGAGGCGGCCTAGTAGACAAGACCTGGAGATAATGAAGTCCCATCTGTACAAATATAAGTAATGATAGTGATTTATTCTCAATTCCTATCCTGGAGTCTCTACTGAAGGCTATCTATATTATACTGGCGCTTAGAGAAGATTCTTTTAGCCTTAGGGAGTATTCCGATAAGAAAGCTTTTTTCATCTATATTATAGATATTTGCTGGCTGTATGTTATGTTATATTCATCAATTTTTTTTGGCCAGCAACTCAAAGTATAAAGTATGTTTGAATACTGAATCAGCTCTCTTTCGTGCAGAGTCAATTCCAGTTGTATAGCGATAAACTAGATCATTCTCATGCCTCTAAAAAGCGATCGTTTGGTGGTCCTGATCGTTAGGCGGTGAAACACGGTACATAAGCCATTCCACTAAGTTAGGTTAAAAAGAACCACTATAATGAACTCCAAGTATATATCAGTGGCGGTTCCGACCACCCACCGGCGGAAGGCGGTGGGTGGTCGGAACCGCCACTGATATATAGTATCGCAACTTGCCATCGTGGCCTTAAGTCTAAGGCTTACCCGTGACAACTATCCCCCCGCCTAAAATAGGCTTACCCTCAAGCCCGTTGCTGAGCTTAGGCACCAGAGTAATCTAGACACGCCTATATAATACCCAACAGGTAATAAATACTGGGAAGGGCATAGCCCAAAGACCCTAGCGCAGATGGGCGGGTCGAGTGAGGAAAAGGACCAAGACGAATACACAGACGATAGAAGTCGCATGTAGTCAGAACTACAACTCCGCAGACCAGCTTCTCAGCCAACTCTCAGATGGCTTAGGGGCCTATCGAAACATAGCGTGGCCCCCAATCAGGCACCAACAATACACCAGCAACCAAGGAGACGCTCTTCTGGGTAAGAGTAGGATTAGTCCGCTCGCTATCGCCCACATCGGAGAAATTAACGCCGGAGCAAGTCACGGCGCAACTCCGTCGTGCCACCCCATGGGAAATGGGGTCGAACTCCGGATTTCATTCCATATACGAATGTTTGGGGTTATTGCGGCACTATAAATGAACTGGGGCTGTGGGGTGGAATTGGTCGAGTGGGATGATGCAATGCCGTACAATTGAGTTGACAGCACTCAACCGGACGATGCTACTAGTAAGCTTCCATCGTTTTCTGTCTCACCTCATGCTGTACGGTTAATACGGACCGGATGACAGGATATTATTACAGAATATGCGGCAATTATCGCCCTCAGTATTTGCTTCGCTCACGCCACCGTGACTGATATACCTGCCATATTCCCAGCAATTCCGGCAGTGGCTTCATTCGAGGCCGTCGATACGACCCAATATTTCAAACGGAGCCCTGACGACTTCATCCATCCCGGGATTTGGCACACGCACGAGGATCTTGAGCGCATTCGGGAAAATGTCCTCAACAATACGGAGCCTTGGGCATCGACCTACCAGCTTTTCCGTGCCGACCAGTATTCCCTCGTCAATTACACGATGGAAGGGCCCTTCGCCGTAATTTCCCGGGGTCAGACCAGTAACTACTCGTCATTCGCGCATGACGCGCGCGCCGCATGGCAGAATGCCCTGATGTGGTATATCACCAAGGACCAGTCGCATTGGGACCGCAGCACCAGCATCCTGGACGCGTGGGGGTCGAACCTGACGGATATTATCGGCATTGACCGATCCCTCTTGATCGGAGTGGATGGGGACCTGTTCGTCAACGCGGCTGAGATCATGCGATGGGAAGGGAACTGGACGGAGACGGGTGCCGATGGCAGGGGGGAAGTGGGTTTAGCAATCAGCTGTACTGGTTCTTCTCACTGCAGTCGGCGGTCATTGGGCAGGCGAACTATGGGATGGCCAGCATTAAGGCCCTGATGAGCTTCGCGGTGTATTTGGATGACGTGCAGTTGTACAAATACGCGATTCACACGTACATTCAGGACCGTTACACTAGGTTATTCGCCCATGTATCACCCGGAAACCGGACAGTCGGTAGAAGCTGGGCGCGATCAAGATAAATTCCTTTGTTGATAATTTTGAGGAGGAGCTGACACGCTGACACGATCAGGCCACACAATGTCGGGAATCGGCTGGTCGGCATATGGCGCTCGGGTTGGACAAAGCCAAGGCAGCGATCTTTATAGCCTTGGGAGGGCTTTGTTACTCCAAGCGGCCGAGTACGCCGCAAACTATAATCTGAACCACACGGTTGTGTATAATCCCCAATGGTATCGTTGAGAAGCGGTACCTGTCAAAGGTTCTTGGCAAGCCATTTCCGAGGCTAACCGTGGAGTCACCAAACACAATCCCATCTGAGATCTCCTGTACTATGAGTATGTAGTGAGGCGGGGGAACCAGGGACCCTGGACTGCGGCAGCCAAAGAGGCCCAGGGGTTGGCAGGTGGAGTGACCTCCAACGACCATCCGAGTTGGGGGGATCTGATCTGGGCAAGGCACGTTAATGTTCATTAATGCATGCGGGGTAATTCGGGGGTCTCTGTTCAGGCAAGTCCATGCGATATGCAGGATGACATGATGGGTAATTAGTATTTATTTCCGATCCGCTCCGAAAGAAAGACAAAGAAAGAATGAGCAAGTCAGGCTTCGAAATTCCCAGAACATAAACAAAAAATCTTTGAAAGTCTATCTTGGTCAAGTCCATATAAGATGGATAATGATCATGATAGGTAAAGCGTGTGGGGAGTTAAGGTTATCAATGAACCATTCTATGCCAGTGCATCTGTAATCTGTAAGGCTCCAGACCACGTGTGTGCGCTAAGACCGAAAGGGGTAACAGCGTAGAAGATTCCTTTTTGGGCGATCCGGAGAGAGAAGGCAAACTCCGAACTGAAGAAAGTAAAGTTGCGCCACCGCCGCATCCGTTGCTCCAACCTTAATTCTCTCGTGATCTCAGGTTTTTCTGGGGAAAATGAATTTCTCACCTCCTCCCCAACAGTCCCCTTTGCGAATCAACACGCACCATAGTCGACACTAGCTTTTTTCTAAAGTAGTGCTACTGTCAAACTTGGGGTCGTTCGAACTGAAAGAAATTACTAATATATCCAATTCGCCTCGGGGCGCTGTTTCTCTGAGTCACATTAAGTGGACCCTGCAGCGGCTCTAATGCATGCCACGGTCCCGACATCGGCCAACTCAGGCGGAAAACTCTTAATTCGCCTTCCGATTTGCCAATCACCGCCCGCTATTAACTAACAACTACTTCCCACCTTCGCCTCATCTCTTCTCCTCCTTCCCTCCCTCTCTCTTTCTCCTCTCTGATTACTCTATTTTAGCAATCCTTCCCCTCCTCCCCAAGCACACACCTTCAACACCCGTGTGTGCATTTGGAACAATCATGGCGTCATCTGATGTCAAAGATATTGAACAGGGCTTGGATCGGAGGCAGGAGGACTCCGAGAAGCCTCCATTCGAAGATAACCTAAAGGAAGAGCCTCCCCAGCTCGAAATTGATCCATTTGGTTCGGAAGAGACGGCTGAAGTGAAGTACAAGACCTTGGACTGGTGGTAAGTCTTGCGACCGGCACCTCCGCAACAAATCCTTCTCGCAGAGCAGACACTGATCAGGAATGATTGAAACAGGCAATGTGGAATCCGTACGAACCTCCCGCGCGCTGAATGACGATATTAATCTAACCACCCTCCTTGAATAGTGATGATTGCTGAAACAGTCTCCGTCGGTGTCCTCTCGCTGCCGGCCACCCTGGCTTCCATCGGTCTCATCCCGTAAGCACTCCTACCCAATAACTGATCGTCCGCGATCGTTACTGACCGTCGTGTCGTGGTACAGGGCAATCATTCTGATCGTCGGTCTGGGTATTGTCACCACTTATTCGGGCTATGTTATTGGGCAGTTCCGGCAAAGACACCCCTACGTGCATAGCATGGCCGATGCAGGCTTCATCCTCATGGGTCCCATTGGTCGCCATGTCATTGAAGTCGGACAGCTGCTGTTCTTCCTATTCGCTTGTGGCAGTCACCTGTTGACTTTCACCGTCATGATGAACACCCTGACCGATCACGGGACCTGTTCCATTGTTTTCGGAGTCGTCGGTTTGATCCTGTCTATCATCTTCTCTTTGCCCCGGACCATGAAGAACGTCTCGTGGCTCGCTGTGACTTGTAAGAAACTTTCTTAAATCGGTTCCTAGCCTCAATTCACCTGCTAACAACCAAACCACAGCCTTCCTGAGTATCTTTACAGCTGTCCTCATCACGATGATCGGTGTCGGTGTCGAAAAACCCGGAATGGACGAGATGCAACTCACCCGCAAGACCAACTTCGTCACTGGGTTCACCGCGGTTACCAACATTGTCTTCGCTTACTGTATGTATTTTTCTGCAGTCTTTCGTCCCACAACCCCTGGCTAATATGTGTGTTCAGGTGGTCATCCCGCCTTCTTTGGTTTTATCGCCGAGATGAAGAAGCCTGAGGATTTCCCCAAGTCCCTTTGTATGCTGCAGGGCTTCGAAATCATCCTATACACGGTCGCGTCCGCTGTCATTTACCGCTACGCTGGTCAGAATGTCGCTTCTCCCGCTCTTGGTTCCGCCGGCCCCGTTGTGAGGAAAGTCGCTTACGGCATTGCGATCCCGACAATTGTCATTGCTGGTGTAGTTCTCGGTCACGTAGCCATCAAGAACGTGTACGTGCGGATGCTTCGCGGAACGGAGTTGATGCACAAGCGGGATTGGCGCAGCATCGGTGTCTGGGTCGGCTTGGCGGTGGTCTTCTGGGTCATTGCCTGGGTCATTGCAGAGGCCATCCCCGTGTTCAGCAACCTACTAAGTTTGGTCAGCGCACTTTTCGTCAGTTGGTTCACCTTCGGCCTGCCCGGTGTCTTCTGGCTGTATATCTACAAGGGCGAATACTTCAAATCCCCGATGAAGATCCTCCTCACCATAGCAAACGTGGGCTTGTTTATCTTCGGTGTCATGATTTGCGCCCTCGGTCTCTGGGTCTCCGGAGTGGCGATCCATAACGACAAATCTCACGGCAGCTTCACCTGTGCCAACAACGCCCTTTGAGCCCCGGTGGTCCGCGTTGCAATATTAATCTCCTAATCGGCCCATGTCTCAAGACCCCACGTCTCACACTCTCGCCCCGTCCGATCTACCACCACTTGTTCCGTGAAAATCCGTGGCGATGCACCCTCCCGTCGTTTTTCACGCTACTATACCGAACCTTTCGTCACACAGCCCCGCATCGCGATTGAAAGACGAGCCTGAGATACGGACGCTTTTTCGCTATCGTGGCTATACCGAAATCGAGGGAATAATACCCCATCGAATCTATTTATACCGGACCCTGCTCCACCTCACTCAGCACATACATCTCATCACTACACAGTTAAGTAGAATATCCACACGGCCTTTCTCTAGGCGTACATGGGTTTTTAGAGTTGGGTATAGAGGGAGTTCCTTGAGTTCATATATATATTGAGGCCACTGTACAGTAGACCAATGCATTGTATTATAGATTATATGCATTAAGAATATTTTTGGCACAAGCACTGTTTCCGTCTTTGTAGTTCAGATTTCAGTTTACTTCTAAGAATCTACGTTATATGACACTCCGCGGTTGTTCATTGATCTCATATCCTTGCAGCATAGTTGTAAATTCTGATTATTCAAGGCACTGTCAGCGACCAAAGTTATGTCAAGAGTATTCCGGACCATGAAGGGAAGACGGATGGTACTGATCATACCTTTAGGATCAAACTAGGAGATAGGTAGTAAAGGGACCAAAAGAGAAGGAAAAAGAGGACCAATATCATGGCATACAAGAGTAATTTGTCAACACGATTCCCAGGTCGACACATTCGAGGTAAAATCAATATCAATCAATCAGTTAGTTAATATTTGCTGCTACCCGAGCCGAAAGAAAAATGGGCGGGAAGGAAAAATAAATGGGACGAGTCGGGTTTGAACCGACGACCTCTCGATTAGCCTGAAATGGCCAGTGATGAAGTGAACTTCAGTCGAACGCGCTCCCAACTGCGCCATCGTCCCAATTGATGCTTGAAGTGCCGGTAATCTGGAATAATTAAGGAATTTAACTGTATTGGCATACTCATCCAGTACAAAGAAATACTCTTGCTGTTTAGAAGTCGCTGAATCCCTTCCGATTTCCTAATCGGGATTACATCTATCACATAATGCATATGTCAGGCCCAAGTAGGACTAGCTTAGGTAGTGGCTTGCGTTGCCCGAATAGACAACATAGCTAGCCAGCAGGTGAGAGGAAGCAGCCCTTAAACAGCCTCCCACTCGTCCATTTCCAGGTCAACTCCTGGGAGGATACTGCTTGAAAATTACAGACATATCCAACAGTATTTAAAGCGATCGTTTTGTAGAATGTGGCAACACATAATCGTGTACAAGACATCAAGAATATCATTCTCCTTGGATAATTCTCACCAAGGAAGAAATCCAACAACAGGAATCTCCTATGGATCTCTTTGTTAGCAAGCTGTCGGAGAATGCCTTCGTCTCGGTTCTTGTTATTGAAACTGATTCCTCCGTGTTGAATATTGAGAATTTGACAGACGTTAGTCGACTCCCTTTCACCTACAACAGTCCCATTGATTGGGCATACGAGGCTACCCTGCAAAATTCGGTGGAAATGTACAGATTATGTACGCGGGGCAAGTGCTGAGTGGAACAAGTGTTATGAATGGTGTGTGTGAAAGGGAAGTCATGGTGAGTGTAGAAAGAAGCTAAAAGGATCTTTAGATGCGGCATACGCCCGAGCAGAAGGTGTGCAGGTCGATGTCTGGTAGTAAGATTGGTAACGACCGCTGGACCTGGAAAGAGTTATTCTCATACCACCTGAAGCAGGAAACCATCACTAGGTCTAATGACATCTAGACTGAAGGTGGCGCAACCATTGGCCCACTCTACCATGGACTTCAGTGCCCATTGCATGTGGAACTTACGTAGAGAAGAGAGTGATTGGCCTCCGTACAGAATGCTACAAGGGAAGCAATCGGAATCCCGCCAAACCAGGATCTCAACTCAGGATCCATGCGAGGGTTCGCCATTCATCCATCTACGATAGACTGACAGAATATGCGGAGTGATGCGGCTTGAGCTTATTACTGGCCATATGGGAAGCGGCAAAATATCCATTGTGGCTGAATACTTTTGTCAATAGAATTATTCGGGATTCGGCTAACTCGGACGATAATATCACTGCCATAGGCGTGGAAATAGAAGACCCTGAAAGCACGAAGCAGTTGATTCGAGCCGGGAGGGAAGTCGTCCTCACAGCCGGTGCCATGCGGTCTCCTGCTATTCTTGAGTTTTCGGGGTTTGGAAATCCTCGCTCAGTCATCCGGTAATGGTGTCCAGATATTCTAGCCGACAGATCCTACAGAGTCCTAAAGAAACTAGACATCCCAGTTGAGCTTGATCTTCCCGGAGTCGGCGAGAATTTTCAAGATCAATTGAATACATCGTAAGTTATTACACTGAATGGAAGCATGGCCGGAACCGGGACGGTGGCTTTCGCCTCGGGCCTCTGATATTTTTGGCTCGTCCACTGAGCGTATCGGTGCATCGCTTCAGTCCCAACTAGATAAATACGCCGAAGTTCTGGTCAGCCACAGCAACGGCGCCATGGCGGCAGAAGACCTTGGCAAAATGTTCGAAGTTCAGTATGATTTAATATTTCACTAGAACGTCTCGATGGCGGAATTTGTGTTCATTTTTAATGGAGTATCTAAGCTCTACACTAGATATTGGGGTCTCCTCCCGTTTGCCTGGGCAAATGTCCTCATCATTTCGGCGGATTCACGGTGCCACCTCGTATCAATCCTACTTTTGGAATATTGGAGTGGGAGCTGCAAGTTCAGATTGCCATTTCCAAGTCCCTTTTTAGGATGTACCAGTCTGGTCGGCTGAAAAGGATAGGGGGCCATGAAACACTCCCAGGTGTAGGGGTCGTGCCGGCAGATGCATCTGATGAAGTATGGAAGAAGTGGATAGCTGAACAATGTAGAACTTCCTCCTATGAGTGTTTGATGTGACGTTGTCGTTCGGTTTACTGACTTGGAGGGTGTAGATCCTCCAAATTAGTATGCCATCAGAACAGCTTCAATACTGCCGCGGCCCACGGGAGGCGTGGTAGACAGTGACTGAAGGTCTACGGAACAACGGAATACCAGCGTTGTTGATGCGTCTATCCAACCCATCCAGCTCCACAAACACATGTCTTGGAGCCGTCGTTAGGTGCTTAACACTGTCAGTGATGGATATGCGACCCTTGCTTCGACTTGCTTCAGAGTTGAAGCATGGGACAAAAGGTGGTCGGATGGGTATCCCATGAGCAATCTTTACGCGATTGCCGAAAGAATGTTGAATTTTATTAAGACGGATCAGGTCATCATTTGCTAGCTATCATGAACAAAGTTTTCTGGACTCCTGTTGCTTCATATAAGAAAGAGACTAGTCAATGCGGGGATAAAAATTTGATTACGAACGAGATTAAGCTGTGAGATTTTCGTTAGCAATAGCATGATGGTACTAATAAGCGCGTTAATAAAAAGAAGTACCATCGCCAGCTAAGTGACCGTACAATAGTATATACCACCGAGAAATGGTGCAGATAGCGTAGCGATGCCCCCTTAATAGTAGTTATTATACCGGTAAATATAGGTCTTCTGTGTAAAGATATTGATGTACAAGAACAACGAAGTATTTCGAGACAAAACCTGCAGAACCTAATCCAATTAATTTTGAGGTTGTCCCGATGGGCGGTGCATCAGAACTCATCTCACCGATATAGTCCGTGATCTGAATTATTTCGATACAATATATACCTAACGTTTTCCACGGCCGAGTGATGGAGTTTCGCCGCACCCACTACTATTTGACGCTTTTAACTATGAATATGGAATCCAAGTAATTTAACTAGTATACAAATATAAACCTTTTTACTAGGGCAATTTCTTATAGTTTACCTAACTATCTCACAGCCCCTGTAGCGTTATGGAGCTGGTCAGCGAGCTGCTGGGGTAGGTTTATTATGCGATTTATTAGATAATATATCAAGCTGCTAAGTATGATTTTGGTCTTTCTGTACAGATAAATGAATGTTATTTCTTAGAATAGTATATTATCTTAATTTTTCCCTAACTATTCGCTTATTCTCAGCGCATAAATCTTTGATTTCTTACTGTAAAAGAAGACTAGTATTTATTACTATTTACGCAGCCTTTTTAAGATATTAAATATACGTAATTTGGCACAGATCGGATAGCGATTCGGCCTGATGACCGTACAGGACAATCGGCCACCGATGAGGAACATCAGGCCATACAACTGTTTAGACTGGCAAACGGGGACGGGAGGGGATGTTAATGCGAGGAGCTTAACCGTCTCTACAACGATTTGGGTTTTGGGTTTCAATGGGAATTCTGAATCCTTTAGGCGTAGAGCTTTCAGCTATATATTAGCGAATCGTTAGTAATAGTAGGAGGTCAAGAATCTGTCCCCTGTCTGAGTAGTATCTACTGCCTGCCTTCGATATTCCTATCTTCTTTGGCCTACGTATCTTTACCTAGTTGACAGGTCCTCTACCCTGAATAGAAGACACCCTTGACATATGCTATATTCTTGAATAGCTATGCATACATTTTATAGTCTTATAACTCTTAAATTTTTAATTTTTAATTTTTATATTTTTTATTTTCACGTTATATACTGATAGGTCATTCGCCTTACATATGGCGTATATAGCTCAGGACAGTATTAATAAAGAAATAGGTCCAATTAACTCTAAGACGTGGAGTATAATCTTGTATTTATTTATAAAATCTATACTATTCTTTATAGAAACTCTAATTGAATTAGAAAGCCTTGAGTATATATACCTAAAAAAACTAAAAATATATCGGCAGCTTTTCGATTTAATTTGAACTTTATTTTATATATCAAAAATAGTTATCTGTATTCGATCTACACGAGAAAGACGCACTTTTTAATGATATAATGGAATAAAGAGAAGATGTTAGAAAAGGTGTAAGAGTAGAATATTTTGGTGTGGTGGCCAAACCGCGTCACTCGGCTGTGCGCGTCACTCGACCATGGAATACGATACAATAAAGGCTAGTTAACAATAGATCTAGATATAATTAACCAGTAGTTTACGATTTGCTGTACCCGTTACACTTAAAGTTTGAACTATCCAGCCCCTTAGTTGAGGGCTCTCATATTCAGCTCTCCATAATACAGGACGAGGGCTGGCTAGCTAAATCTCATAAGAAGATAGCTTCAATAATACTAAATTGATGATGTGTCGTCTCGAAATATGATTTATTGGTTGTACTCTCCTGCGTAGTCCTGGTTTTCATTCAGTGCTACTGCCAGGACGGAGTAACCCTGAGTATTACCTAGCTGAAGAATTAAGATGAACCCCATTACGCTATTGAATGCAAGAAGATAAACGGAAAATCCCTTCCGAATCTGGCAAAGAAAGAAAAGGATCACACCTATCATGATTGGATATCACATCAAAAAGCATAAGTCGGGTCATGCTCAATAATCACCTCGTATTCTGATTCAATTGCAGGGGACCCCTTTCATTCCGGTCGGCGGCTGACACTGCTAGACAACATATACGATACGGACGTACATACTTCAGCGGGGCCCGCTGAAACACAGCGTGGTCTTCTACAATCCGATAAAGCAGCCCTCAAATATGGCATTCCCCATTACCCTGCTATATATCTTCCTCCTTAGCCCAGTAACAGCGTTCACCCTTCGCTCTTGTCTCCTCTCCGCAGTCGACAATGATATCACCCTCGTCGGTCTGGATGGAGATCTCCTCTACCAAACCATATTCGTCAAAACCTACAACCTCAATTACCCTGTCACACCCGCAGCGGTGACCACCCCCAAATCCACCGACCAGGTCTCGCGCATTGTAAAATGTGCCGTGCAGGGTGGCTACAAAGTACAGGCGAAGAGCGGAGGACATAGCTATGCGAACTATGGTGCGTCGCGCCAGTCACCCTCAAACCTACAATTCTATTACCCTCAAAAAGCACTCCCTGAACTGCACCGAATGTCTTAAAACTCATAAAGCGTAGGTCTCGGTGGCACTTCCGGTGCCATAACCATCGACCTCCGCAATATGAAATCTTTCAGCTACGACCCAACCACCACACACGCCACCATCGGCGCAGGCATGCTTAACGGGGAACTCGATAAGCACCTCTACGCGGCGGGTAACCGCGCCGTCGCACACGGAACATCCCCCCAGATCGGCGTGGGCGGACACGCGACAATCGGCGGGCTGGGCCCCGCCGCCCGGCAATGGGGAATGGAACTCGACCACGTCCTGGAAGCCGAAGTAGTCGTGGCCAACGGCAGCATTGTGCGCGCGTCCTCGACCAGAAATCCAGACCTATTATTCGGCATCAAAGGCGCGGGCGCAAGTTTCGGCGTGGTCACCCAATTCGTCCTCCGTACGGAGCCCGCGCCCGGAACCACTGTCCACTACACCTACACCTTCGACCTGGGCAGTGGCTCCTCGCGCGCAGCTCTCTTCACCCAGTGGCAGCATTTTATCCGTCAGAAAGATCTTAGCCGGAAATTGGCGACCATCTGTACCATCCTGAGGGGCACCGTGATAATCTCGGGAACATTCTTCGGGACGCGGTCTGAGTTCGACGCGCTCGGCCTCGACACCAAATTCCCCGGCGCGAACCCGCGGAATAGCTCTGCGATTGTGTTCACGGATTGGTTAGGGTTGGTGGCGCACTGGGCGGAGCAGAGCATTCTTGACCTTACTGGCGGTATTCCTGCGCATTTCTACTCGCGGTGTCTTGGGTTCACTGCCGATACGCCCATCACATCCGACGGCGTAGAGAAGATGTTTGAGTACCTCGATACGGCGCACAGCGGGGCGTTGCTTTGGTTTGTGATCTTCGATCTCGAGGGAGGGGCGATCAACGATGTGCCAATGGGCGGGACGGGGTTCGGCCACCGGGATGTGTTGTATTGGATGCAGAGTTACGCGGTTACCTTGGGGGACGTCGGGGAGACGACGTATAGGTTTTTGGATGGGGTTAACGAGGTGATCCGGAATAATACGCCGGGTTTAGGGGAGAAGGTGTATCCGGGCTATGTGGATCCGAGGTTGCAGGATCCACGGAGGGCGTATTGGGGTGTAAATTTGGAGAGGTTACAGCAGGTCAAGGGGATCTATGATCCTGGTGATGTGTTCCATAATCCACAGGGGGTTTTACCCGCATGACCCCCTTCTTTGTTACACCAAAGAGCAATTTATTAGTATGCACCTCGTCCTGGGGTATCCGTGCTGCGCTCACACCTACGTTTACGCACTAAGGAAAATGTGTGCAATTTATTTGTCAATATACTACTATCCTGGTCTGAGGGAGTTTGCTGTATGTACATAAGATTATGACAGTTCAGTTGGTAACCAATCAATCACTGGTGAAAAGTAGATAAAAGGCAGTGATCTGAAAGCCCTTGTGTATGCATGACCAGCGGACATCGCTGGCGCCCGACCCCAGCTACTGTCCGTATTTACTTAACGTCTTCATGGATCCTCTTTCTAGAATCATCTCTTCCACCTTCGAAGCGTCTAAAGGTAACCGTTGAGCCAAAACCCGCAAACTTCCACGTCGACTAGGGCCCCTGATCTTTCTCTTCCATCAACTTGAGCCTTACTTTTTGAACGCGTTCATAATGGTGGCCTAATCGTGGCGTATTTATAGAATTAGGGTTCTCCATAATTAGGAAAACATGATGATTAAAAATCAGAATCAGGCCTGGAAGGATAGATCATATAGTTAGTATATATCATTATTACTTCACGGTAACCAGCAGCTGGTACAATCTACTCTGGGAAGCCGGTTACAAATGGGGCAGATATAAATGGCTGTTGAAAGTCATGCATAATGTTGCCTGACCGGGCAGGTGAGCTAGAAATTATAGAGGATATTCTCGCTGTAACATATAATTTCATGACGGTATCTTGGCTTGAAATTTTTGATTTCACCTTTGAATATTATTTTTATTATATCATGCCTAATCGACAAATGTCGCCGACAACTCGGATGTCCGGTTCTTCCACAATCACAAACCCTCCCAATACTGGCAGTTTCAATCTCCTGACGGTCCCCGCCGCCGATAGTACATTGAACAGGGCATTTTTGCAAGGAAACCTTGCAACAAGAATATTGCGAGGTATCCTGCATCGTTCGAGATTTTCACCTGGCAATCCGAGACGACTCGGAACATATTGTCTTTGTTCCAGCATATTGGACCATGGGTACGCTTCCCCTATCCATCCGGTGGAGGAGCACCTCCAGTACGCAAACCTAATCAAAATCCGCCCGAGTCAATATCTAGCATGGGCAACCTGGAAAACATCATTTTATAGACGCACGGTGCGTTTCAATTGGATGAACCGTTGGTTTCCAATAGGTCGGTGATTAACAACAACACAGGGATTTGCATGCCATATGAACTAATCGAACCAAGACTAAATTGCTGTGGCGAATAACCCTCTACTCACCGAAGGAGGCCACAGGTTTTACTATTATAATTCTGACTTTAGCGTCGTTAGACAATTGACTCCATTTGTCGCTGCCTCCTAGTGACGTTAAAGAGTATGATATAGGCCAGTGAGGCGTTGCAAGACTAATCTGGATCCACTAATAGGAAGGACTTGCAAACGCGGGATAGCAATGATTTAGCCGAGAAATGGAGTAGCATTAGTCCAAGGGGTCGCCGAACTTCGAAGAATGACTGCAAGGCTCAAGCCAGTCAATGGACAGCCACACACTTTGAACGAACACTTGAAAGCCCATTCAAGGCTGTCTGGTGGATACATGTGGCCGACTATGAAAACTATGTGCTGAACCATTGTGCAGATCAGCTTAGTTGCGGGGACTTTAACGCCCTAGTTTTAGCCCTTTTAGGTCGCAGGTGAAACCCACTCATGAGCTTGAGGCTCCCTGACACCGAGAGTTAGAAATTTCTGACCTGCGCTATAAATATCGTCACACGTATCAAGATGAGCCTCTGAGAGCTTATACAGGATCATCCAATTGAGATTATGTTGATTTTCGCTGCTTCCTAGGACCGCATTTTCCTCGTCAAGTCGATGTACCGACCCACCACCAAGAATGAGTGGTGGTTCTGTGGGACCCTTTTGATGCAAGGATTGCTTGTCATTATCCTTGAAGTGTCAGTACAGACATCTGCCAATATAAGCCACTGGAACCCTCTAACGTGGAACAGATACATCCTCGTGCAGTGGCTGTCGTGGGTCAATTCCAATGTAACCCAAATTACCATCTCCTATGTAGTTCCCATGGGCATGGGCATCGTGGTTTTCGCAAGCATTTATGAAGCAATTCTCTCTCTGGATGCAATTCACCACAAAAACAATGTTTCCTTGCTGGCCATATGCATCAGCAATATCTGCATTGTCGTGTATTCGGTTCTGCAGTTCCTTAAAATGCGAGGAGCTACCCGTTCTTTGCGATATGAGAAGGACGGAATGGGTCACCCTCTCGTGGATTCCTCCAGGGATATCTGGAAATACATGCGACCGGCGGAACTTGCTGTTCCCATTATCCTTGGCATGGCATCTCTGATCATTATTCCTGCTGCCTATAGACTTCACAAGGATTATGCCTGGGCAATTTATAAATGCATTCACGGTAGCGCAGAGCTCAGGGTGCGGTATATGGCATACGAGGTAATGATGACCGACACGCTCCCCAGTGACTTTGACTAAAAGATTTTAGATATATCTGGTTTTGATCAAGTTCAATTTCTTTTTCTTGGTTGGCTTTATCGTCCAGTACAACTTGATCGATGTTCATTTTGCGGAGCCAGAATACTCTCTCACCTTGGCTCTCATCCCCACCGCCCTAGTGGTCATGCTCCTCGGCATCTACTGCGTGAAGTCGGAACGGAAAGTTGCCATGGGCTTTGTCATCGTGAGCCTCCCGTCTGATTCCCGTCTCTCTCTCACTGATTGTATGCAGGCTTGCTTTCTCGGATTGATTACATATTTACTAAGTCGGATCATCGTGCTCTGCGGAAACACTCGACGGGCAAACACTGCTAGCAAGGAGATGATGTTGCTTTTCGCGATCGTCGCGTTGGTTCTTAACGTATTGACTCTGGGATGTGCGGTCCAGTGCGTCTTGAATTTTGACTACGGACTGAAGAGGATCACTCGGCAGGAGCACCGGTGGCCAGAAAATGCCTATGTCTTCGAAAGAGTTCCCGGGCAGTCAAGACCTTCTGTTGATACGAGGTATAAGCGTCTGTCACTGGATTAAGGAAATCCATTCAGTGGAGAAGGCCTATCTCTTTTATCTTCATTATATAAGTATCTGTTTGGTGCACCGATTCTCCAATAGATTTCATTGGCCTTAGCTTAGTGCGTGCCTGTCCGTCTCTTTACTCCTCCCGGAGATCCTGGAGAAAGATTGGTAAAAATAAAAGACCAACAAGTCTAGGAGAAAAGCTAGTGGAGATGCACGGCACTTGACCCTGGAGGGGGTTTACCCGTTCAAACGTTAGTTCGTTTTAAAATAGTCTTAGTGATTGTTAAGTTAGGGCTGAGGGGCCGATGTTCCCAATTGACTCCAAAGGCGAGCGGTTAAGACCGCCGTGAAGAGGGCGGTGGGCCAATGGGAGCCCCCGATACGGAACCCTAACCTATTTGCGTCCTTTTGGGGAATTTTCGGAAGAAATTCCTTTCGTGCTGGTGGAGCCGAAATCCAAAAAGGCAGGTTACAGGCCAGCCGCCCCTCGTTCAAACAGTCGGGCGCCCCGAAACTGGTCATGTGACATACCTAGCGGTGCACATGCCCATTACCGCTCAGGGTTTATGTTACGAGGCTTGCAAACTTTTCAATACATGACATTTTCTATACCCACTACCTTACAAGTTTTAAGTATTTCTTATATTTTATAATTTATATCTTGTAATCTTGCTTGTCTCTCCAGGAGCTCTAGGTCTTTTTTCTTATTTTAAGTTATTTCTCTTATATCTGCTCTTTGAATAAGTACTTCTTAAGTACTTTGTAACCAGTTATTAAGTACTTACGAATTAGTTAATAATTAAGAAATACTTATGATTCTTATATCTTCAATTTACTTATTATTTTTCTTAACAGCAATACTTTCTTTCTTATCATCCCAGTTGGAAAATTGTTGGGAGACAGACATGTGGAAGAGAAAATGAAAACGAATTTCATTGTATGGGTAACAGTATTTAAAAGGTCAGACGCCTCGTTGTGTCCGCCGAGACCTGTGTGGCGGGCGCGTGGCTTCTGGCAAGGGGCACCTGACCAGTTTACTCATCCAAAGGTTGGGTTAAGTTAATAATAGCATGGAGCTAAGCCATCAGCCGAGTCATACTGATTAATTAATTACTTAGCTGAGTTTTTTTCAAAAATGTATGCGTATTTCTTTTTCCCGCTTCATCCTCGGTAAATGTCATCTAGGAGAGCTCTGCAGACTCTGAACCCCGGGCCACGATCATGTATTTTCCCTTTAAGACAGAATGTGGCACTGTAAGAGCTTGAAACTCTTCTGGGTGCTTTCAATAATAGGATCGCTATTTCTATGCCGCACACAGGCAGCATTTCTCCGCCGGCTGGACTGCGAGGAGGCTTTAGTCGACCCGATATTCCAGCCAACAAGCCTACGTGGTTATCTCAACACGGAAGATGCCAACACAGCCACCTTATCCTTGAAGTTGGAGGGCGATTATGTGTCCAATAATTGTGATGCCATCGGTGGTGCGTCGGCGCGGATATCAGTGGAGGCAAAAACCCTAGGTCGTTCGGTCGTTACTGATGACCACCAACTGGAATTCAAAGGAGTCTGCCCCGAAAGGTCTCCTCTGGAATATCCAAGGTGGGTATTTTGAAACGACATCTAGAGGAAGCTTGGTACTGACGAGCTAGGTCTGATCCTCGAACTTACGCAATCTATCATGCCTCATACTCACTGGGCCATCCATATCGCATGAATACTTTGACGACGACGATTCGTCTTCGCCTGAATGAGAGCGATATTTCTTGCGTCGTCGCCAATGTCACCCCTTACATTGGTTCGACCGCATCAGGAGCTTTGAAGGGGATCCCTTTGGGTATCATGATTCTCACTGGGCTGATAGCCGCCATCCTTCGGATCTGTCGCGGCCGTGGTAGAAGTATTTTTCGGTATGAATTGGCGCATGTGGCTCGAGACCCGGCCGAGTCATATTTCCCGGGGATGGGTGACTGCTTGCAATATATTCAGTTTATCTTTTTGACCGGATCTCTGACACTATCATACCCGGGATTTTTTCGGGCGTCGGTAGGCGAGCTGGCCTGGTCATCTCTCATCTTTAAAAACTGGCCCGTTACACATCAATTCGTTTACCCGGGTGTTCGCGACAATATTTATGCCGTAAATGCAACTTACGGCTTGGAGGAGATGGCCCAATTCCTGGGAGCCACGACCATGAGTGACCTGTGGACTAATGCCGTCGTCAACCTGGCTCTCATCATTCTTGGAGTCATCGTGACAACCCAATTTCTATGGCTTGCTAAATGGGCGTGGCAACTGCTCCCAGTCCGAGGTTCAACTCGGGTGATAGATCTTCGACGAGAGATCCTGGACCATATGCACAACACAGGTTGGAGTGTCGCGCGAGTTGTCCTAGATTATTTTCTTCACCCAATCGTTGCCCTGTCCTTATATCAGCCACTTATGGCGACATGGTTTCCAGTCTACCGGTCATTTCTCGCCGTCTCGTTTGTGGCAATTCTAGCTGTGTCATTAGCCTTCATAGTGCGGTACTTAGTCAAGAATGGCAGGCAAAACAATTTCTTCCACAAGGGCTCATACCCAAGATATTCGACCCCCGACTGGCTTTCCGATGCTCTATACATGGTGCCATTTGTGAGGGGCCTAGCTATCGGCGCACTACAAACCTCGGGTCTTAGTCAAATCATCGTTCTGATCTCATGCGAGCTATTCATCTTGGCCTGCCTGCTACGGAGCTGGCGGACACAGCGGGCATGGCGACATGCCTACTTGTCGACTGCGCGGCTCATTGTCATCACAATGAGCTGCACATTCCTCCCTAAAGCAGGTGTGTACGAGGGAAACAAGGCCTTGGTCGGATACTTCATTATATCTATACACACAATTGTCCTGTTCATAGGATTCATCGTCGACGGTCTTTACGACCTAGTTCAATTTGTTCTAAGTAAACTCGGAATCATCGATCCTCTCTCCGCAGACCAGGACCGCCAATCCCACAACGCTCCAGTAAGGACCGGTACTATCCTCAACAGCCAAATAGCAAACACTAACAGAAACCTAGGTATTCGGAATTGGCCAACTCTCGCGCCGCTCAACACGCCGCATGTCCTTCGCACGACTGCCCGCCCTCAACCCAAACGGTACTCCCTTATCTCGTGCCGAGACACCGTTTAGGACTAACAAGAATTAGAAATTTCAGTCCCATACTCTCAAAGACCCTCCACCCCTCGTCGGCCATCCTTTCTAAGTGGCCTCCCCATAAGAGACAAACATCCCTCTTTCTTCCGCGCTCCCCGATCTGAAACCGCCTCCATACCTTCAGCATGGAGCGTGATCTCTCCCTCCTCACCATCCCAGTCTGAAAGTGAATCCCGCGGACCAAGTATTGAATCAGTAGAAATGGAGGCCCTAGATCTAGAATCGAAGGCGAAAGAAGCTGTGGACTATTCATATCGCGAAGCCGATCAATATTACGGTCGGCCGCCGGCTTCGGTTCCTACTTTCGACCATGTGCAGCATAGCCAAGCGGAATCGTCGAACCGAGGGAAGGATAAGAAGAAGAAGGGGTTTTGGAGGTGGAAGCGGAAGGAGAAAAAAGTGAAGGGGTTTGAAGTTATAAGACCTAGACCGTCGGCTCCTCAGTGATGGGGTTGGCTTTAATTGTATTATATTGTTGATATATATGATGCCTGAAATTTCCACCCGAGGTCAAAAATACCCTAGATTATCGCTTAGCTTCGGAATTAGATTACCTTTGGTGACTCATAGGATACGATCGACACTTAAATAGAATGGACAGAATCTTGTCCCATCCACACCCTTCCTGCTATTCTCACACCGAACTGGCTATTAAAATTGCCCATTTGACTTAAATATAGACCATGTCGCCTCCGCTGGGCCCTCCCGTCTCACAACCAACAGCGCTCAGGCCGTCCGCTGTGGTACTTGAAGGACGTACTGTCCGCTTGCTCCATCTTAGCCCTGAACATGCAGATCAACTTTTCCTCCTTGTCGGAGGAAATGACGAGACCAAAGCCGCGCTCTGGACGTACATGATGGATGGTCCGTGGAGTGACATTGAGACGTTCCGCGCAGCAGTAACCGCCAAATCGATGTCTACCGATCCATTCTTCTTTGCCATCCAAGATTCTTCGAGTGGTCGTGTTGTGGGGCAGCTATCGCTCATGAGCATCGTTCCGGGGCAGCTGAGGGTGGAGATTGGTAGCGTGCTTTACTCCCCAGCTCTTCAACGCTCTACGGGTGCAACTGAAGCGGTTTATCTTCTGCTACAGTATGTCTTTGAGTCTCTCGGTTATCGCCGTGTAGAATGGAAGTGTAATGCCTTGAATCGGGCATCTCAGAGCGCAGCGGTGAGACTTGGATTCACATTTGAAGGCGTTTTCCGACAGCACATGGTTGTGAAGGGCAGGAGTAGAGATACGGCTTGGTACTCAATCCTACAGGAGGAATGGGAGCAAAAGCACATCAAGGAGTCTCTGGAACTCTGGCTCCAAGAGAGCAATTTCGATCTTGAGGGGAGGCAGAGGAAAGGGTTGGCGGAGATCAGGAAGGAGCTTGAGCATCACACCCGGCACAGTGATTTATAAGACTCTTCCGGCTGATGGCCAACGCCCTAAGTGATCTCTGCTATGCACGAACTACGGATGACGGAGAGTGTATTTTGTCACCACCTTCAACCCTTCTGAATAGCTTCAGAAATGACCTTTAAACTCATGTGAGTAGGGCTAATTTTGCCGCATGATCAGATCTAGGTTGATAATATCCCCTTCTCGCTATTCCTGGCTTCCACTGAGCGGGGTGGAAAGGTCTCGGCCATGAAAGATGGCGTATATATATCCATAGACTTATAATCGTGCGACAAAATGCACTCTTGGCTGTCATGTGGCTTGGTCACATCTCCTAACATTCATTGGGGACAGGCTTAACTGCTACACACTACGCAGGCCCTACCAACAATCATTAAATATGACAAGTATATTTCGAAATATTGCACTGAAAATTACAAACATTATCGAAGCAACCCCAAAGAAAGGTTCCCGGCATTGAATAGCACCTTCTCATCTCTAAAACAGCACAGGATTGGAATCAAAGCACTCCATACACCTCTGTCACTGGAATAGGGAAGCTCTTCATGGTATTCGTAACATTGGCTAAACCGTGTGCAGTATACCTAGCTTCTCCTTCATACCACGTATGCTTTACATGCACACTCCACGTCGGATATTGCCCCGGAATCAATTTCGCCTCTGTGGATTTGTCCTGGCACGGCGCATAGTCACTTTCGGCAGGGACGCCCGTGCAGGAGGTTTTGAAGCCGGAAGCATTGCTGGCATTGCTAGCGATGTTGAAGTTGTAGTTGCAGTCTTCTGAGCCGCAGCTGGTGGTGAAGTCGGAAACCTTCCATTGCACTGGATCGTCGAACGGAGTGGCAAAGGTGAATCCGAGGATTGAGAGGCCGACGGCGAGAGTAGTGTAGAAGTGCATGATGGCGAGTAGTTGCGCAGTAGATACGATCTGCTTAACTTTAGAAGATAGGAGGATAGAGTAGCGGGAGGAGAGGAAATAGAGTAATCGTATAGGTGGTTTGGTTATGTGAGCTCTGGTTGGAATGATTTACTTGGAGCTACCACGGATAAAGAGATGTTTAAATAACCCGTCATGTCTTCAGGGATAGCATTCAGAATCACGTTCAGTTGTAGTCTGAAACAATGGGCGATCGCGTACTCAAACAATAATGCGAATTTGATCCATTGTGGAGCCAAACCCATTTTATGGACAGCCAGACGTTGTCGATAACTTGGTCCAATTTTCTGGATAGGCCCACTCTTGGCGACGAGGCCACCCTTCAGGTGGGAAGGTCTCAAGTGACATACAGGGTTCTCCGATCAGCAGCTGTTGATAATAAGCTTCGGACTGTTCCATATATAGCTCAGATATCGTCTCATCCTTAAACGTGGTAATATATCGCCAGGCTTCGAGCATATGACCTGTATCCTGGCAAATCTTTCACCCGGTTATTGCAGTCAATGTATACGCCAATGCGTATAAGGCATCCAGCAGATGGACAGCAGCTACAATGTGGCAATGTTTCAGAGCATTATTAGGCATCGCATAAGATGCATGATGATTGAATGCGCAATGTATTAAAGGCCTCTCACAATATTAGACTAATCCATTCTCTAGACTATTGCTATATATATAAATTAGAAGTCAATGACAAAGAAGGATCATAACTGTAGCTAACTAGAGCTACCCAGGAGGTGAGCATGAGCAACGTTACATCTTGACGCGGGATCATGAGGATCTTATATGCTTGGTCAAAATGGGGCAGAGACTGTTTCAGCCTTTACCATTTTTTGTCCAGTTAAGTGCATCTGTTATAAAGTAGTACAATAGCTGTGATCGCCAATCAACCTAGACCTAGGCCTGCTCCACAGAAGTAGAGCGAACGTAAAGTTAGGTACCTTTATATCTAGATCCCTAATCGTCTTGATTGTTGTACAGGATTTACATCACGAAGATCTCAATTATGGGCCACATTACACTGCCACCAAATTTTACCCACCGTGTATCATACCCTATCCTAGATAGCAGCCTATTTGATTATGAACGTAGCCTGATGGCTGCTGTATTAAAGGGGATCTCAAAACGTCAAACACTAAAAGACGGAGTAGTATATTAATGGCTTATGCAAACTAATTGAAAGGTAAACATATCCTTGTTCCAAAGGCAGACAAAGAGATGTATCTTTCCAGACCAAGTTAATATATACGAACACCATATCCAATTTTCCGGGTAAATGGGATTAGTGATGCATCAATAGGCATGTACATAATGTGATACACCGTCCAAAAGTACAGTCAAATCCCTCAACAAACAAACACGGCGTAGGGAGACATTTATACCTCTTACCCTGGTATTTGAATGGTTCCTATGCTAGCCACAGCCCCAGCCTCCACAATTCTATAACTTTTTCCTCCACAAATCTATCATGATATCTCTATAACAGGCCCACCGTACACATTCCGGGCCCGAACGAAGTAATACAAAAGACTCAGAATGATGGTCCCCACTGTTCCAACAATACTATAGTTCATTGTCTGCGTGTTGACATCGTTAATTGGAGGCCAAAAACCGAAGAAAGTAGCAATGGCCATATAGCACAAGGAAAAGATGTTGATCGTGATACCTAAGATGCCCGGAACGTGGAATGGGCCCCAGACCAACTTGGCCCCTGCGGTGTTGATCACCGACTGCTCATTAGCACTCGTGTTTCCGATTGCGCCGGTGCAACGGCGGTAGAGCAGAAGCCCCCCAGCTGCCATATACGACAGGTAAAGACCGGATATGGACATGGATACCAGGCTGTTAAATGCCACATTTGAGCCGATCGTGATGAGATTCAGGAGGCACCCGATACTTGCCATCAGGAGGACTGTATATGTCGGGATCGCTGTGCGCTCTGTCACCTAGACGGTTGTCAGTTACGTTTGAGGGGTCAGGTTTATGCTTGATCGATTGCACTCACCTTACTCCACACTCGCCAGCCCGGGATTCCTCGGTCACGAGAGAAGGACCAGAATTGACGTGATGCTGATGTTAGGGTACCGATGGTATTGCAGCATCCCATGGCCGTTACAAGAGCTCCTGCAATCGTGGTACCAGACAAAGATCCTGTTGCCTGGAGGAAGATAGACAGGAAGGGTACCCCTGTTGGTGAATTGAGTGAGGTTTGAATATCGCCGAGGCAGAAATACAAGGCAAGCATCATTCCGAATCCCATAGAACCATTGATTAACACTGTAAGCATCAGAGATAAGGGAACAGCAGTCGTTGCATTGTTCATTTCTTCGACCATCTATGATACAGATGTTAGCATATATTTTCCGCATTGAATATCCACGATTTGACTTACATGTACGGCAGCGTCACCCCCAGCAAAAGCAAAGACGGGTCCCGTCAACCCGATAAACACCGAAAGTGCCTTTGTAGGCCAGTGACCGTCGTTGATAAAGTACGTAAATACCTCTTCCGCCGACGATTTGTGGTCCGCCATATAAGTCAAGGGGACAAGAATGCAAAAGAACCCGATAATGTGGAATATCAGAATGGTACCCTCGAACCGGGGTAGAACTTTACCACCGACGATGTTGATAACAGCGGAAATCACGGAGAGACTCCATGAATATAGAGTCCTTCGCCATGGTTTAGGGGTGTAACTTGATCTGGTAAGGATAATAAGGGCTTCGATCATGTTTCCATTGAGATACATTGCGGATGAGAAAGTGGCTTGCCACCCGATAACTGTGAGCCAGCCTATATTGATCGTGAGCGATTTCCAGCCACTATTTGCTTTGGGTGATGAGTGGAACATACCTGTAATGTAACTAACCAGCTTCATCGCCGATGGAGGGGCCATCATCGAGCACCAATGGTATTGTCCACCGGCTGTGGGAGCCCTGTGGCTCTTCGATCAGTTTTATACCAGCGCAAATATATCGGATGGAGACATACATCGATACAAGTTCCGATATCACGACGAAAGTTGCTGTTACACCAGCCCAGACGAAAAGGTAGCCATATACAGAGCCAGCTGGACCACCACTAAGGATTGATCAGTATTCCACCCTAGAGGTCTCAATGTCGCATGAGGTGAACGGTACTTTTGGAAGGATTGTAGAAATAATCTATTGGAAGCGACTGGTGTTAGCTATGGGTCAACGCCGTGAGGAATGCGCAGTGACTTACAAGATATATCCCTCCCAGGTGACCAGAAGCGTACAGCTAAAGCCCACCATTGACATCAAACCGAAGTTTCTCTTCCGAACGACTCCTTTAGCATCTACTACGCTTATGCGAAGGGCGCAGTTGAGGGACGCCTCACCTTTAGAACGGGGCGCTTCCCCATGCGAGCCAGGTAGGCATCGTCTTTGCTTTGATAAGATGGTTGTCCCTCCACCTCATTTAGCATGGGAGGCGCCATGTGCTTCATTTCGTGGGTCGACATGTCGAGGAATTTGACTGCGTAGTCGCAATAGTTATCCAAGTGACAGGACCAAGACCAAAAATGGGTGCAGCAATCAATCGAGCCTTGCGACCCAAGAATAAAAACAGAAGAGAAAAATGAGCGACAGAGGGGCACATAGATGCAGGTTCACCGGTAGGACAAGGGTCTCTTAATTTTTTTTTTTTACCCGGCAACCTCTGGTGTCCCACCAAGAACCGTGCAATATAGGTCAACAAATGAAATTTTATGTCTTCCACTATCTGCACTTGAAGCTAGAGGAAAGCGACGATACAACCCTACCAGGGTTCACAGCATGAGAGACCGCCCCAATCACAAGCTTGACATCCAAAATAGCTCTTGTCGCCTTGGATCAAGCTGCGTATAAGGGTCTAGATGTACCCGCTGTGGAGATTGGGAGACATCTGACAGGCTGGGGAGCATGTTTTCGTGCGGGAAATCCCTTGCTCGTACATTCTTTAGCGCCTCGGCGTAACAGGGATTAAACGTTTAGTTTAGAACTACACGGAGTAACGATCTACAATCAAGCTACTGGAAAGGGGAATGGAATCTCACTGAGGGAAATAATGGGAAAATACGGGAATCCAAAGGGGAGAGAAAGAGGGGGGGGACGTGGTTAGAGAGGCGAGTGAACGGTACAAAGCAAGGCAAAATATCTCAATCAAGGAGCAACATCAAGGTTTTGTGTAGAAGAACGACATTCCCGTTTTAGTGTAGAGATACCGGCAAAGGGTCTCTTACCGACTCCTCAATAGCCCACGTGCGGACTTCGCGGATAATATAGGCCTGACTGGACTCACTCCCTGCGTCCCAATCCCGCTTAGATCCAGATGCAGTAACCGCTGTCTGGCAAGACCCCTCAAAGGGAGGAATAGTAGCCAGTTCGTAGAGCTGACGCCCAGCTTCCTGCGGTTTATGCGATGGTGTCGTTGAATGTTTATATCCCATGTCAGAACCGCCATGGCGCGAATTCCCGTCCACGCGAATGCCCAATGAACGAAGGTTGTCAAGAAACGGCTTGAACTGGGGGGAACAGCAGGTAATGATACTCAAACACTGGGCGACCTGCGTCGATATGGTGAAAAGCGAGGTTCCAGAGGTCTGATCCGTGGAATCAATCGTTTCATTTACATAGACGATCTGCCCGACAATTGCGGCAATTACGCTGCCAAAAATTCATCAGCGAGGAATGAGAGGGGGATAGATAAGGACGATGTGCTCACAGGATGCGAAGTCCGAAAATGATGGTCAGGACTATCTTCCTCTTCAAGCGCATTTGAAGCCGTGCGACAATGAAGATTCCGTGAGCCATCACCACGGCATCGGTCAAAATGTTCATCACACAGAGGCAGTTCCACCATGCCCGCCGGTTGATACATTGGCCATTGAGATAGTCCCATGTTCGAGGCGGTTTACATTGGAAAGCCGCGGTGAGGATACCGGCCACAGTCCACAAGGTCGTAACGATCTCTAGGCCGGCGGTGATATGACGATCAGGATGAAAGGGTGTCACGCTCCAAAAAATGTGGATAAAGGACAGCTTAGAGAAACCCATGCTGGTAATGAAAAGGATGGTCGCAGCATATTGTGACTATTGGACTAGGCCATCAGCGATAGGGTCGAGGAGGTTTTTTTGTAGGGATTCACCTTCATGACGCCTTCGTGGCTCGTCTCCGAAAGTGAATCATAATGGTCACCATAGCCATTTGCGGTGGCCATAGAAAGAGCAACCGACTGCGCTATACAGATCACCTGGAAGATGGTCCGTCACTATTACACGTTCATGAAGATTCATAAACAGCCGGTGATCTTACTACCGAGACGATGCAGAGATAATCGTCTGCACTCCACCAACGGATAATCCAGTATTTGGTCCCAAGTCGGGCAAAAGCAACAAATATGGCCGTTATCATCAGAAGCCAAGTCGAGATATTGACCGCAGGCTTCCAGCTATCGGGTTCGAACTTGCTCATTGTGTCGAGTGAGCCGTCAAGACAGAGAGAACTTTTGTTCTTCTCTATCCCAAACACACCCGCAGGTGGACTTCATCTTTCTACTAGCATCGAATGACCGAAATGTCATCCTTGTCGGACAGGGTTTCTATGCACCATGGCTAAGTCACTCTGATCGTTGGAGGTACCAAATCCATGGAATCATGCAGGGCATGATTTGGAAGAGATAAATTCGTTTCACCAGCACATGAAAGCCTGATAAAAGGGTTACATTTTCTCTGGATCGCAAGGATGTCATCCCGGAAGGCCCACTCCGTCGTCTCCTTTCCATCTAGTAGATAATGAGAGTGGGTATATTTGTCAAAGGCCGACAAGGATCTTGAGGTGAGGTATCCTGCATAACCCCTTGTCCTTGCTCTCTTAGCATTAGGGAGTATTACTTGAATTCCTTTTCCTAAATTGCAATGTTGCATCGTGTCCAGCTTTGGCACATGATGAACACTGATCCATGTCCATGACGAAGGGATATTAGTAGAGTATATCCACTATCCAGCTCTATCCCACTCTATTAATTTCGGGGAGAAAAAGGCGATAAGGGCAAGAACGAAAAGAGAAAAAAAGTGTCCCCGTCGGAGATGGTTAGTCTATTCTACCTTCTGAAAAGAAGTGAAGCATAACCACACGCAGCCATAGAATGTTACCTAGAGCGACAAGTAGCTTTTTATGGGCCCTTGAAATGCTGATCGCATTCCTTTCCGCGTCGTTCAATTGACCAGAAAATGATCAGCATGAAAAGATTACGCTCCTTGGGATCGGCGACAAAACACCGGTGGGGACTGCGAAAGATTCAACTTCCTGTGCGCCTTGGCGGGTCATGCCACTACTATGTTGATTCCTCGGTCTCATTCAACTGAGCGAGATGACACTAACATGGAAGCTGGACGATTGTGTTATCTAGAAAACCAGTTCGCAGAACCTTGCGTTCTTCTGGTTTGGAATAAGCATAAAAATAACCTTGCCCTAAGTAGTCCGGATACAAAGGATTCAATTAACGGACTGGAGCCGATCCATCTAGTCCTTCAGCCGCCACCGAGGATAGAAAATGCCCAGGGGGAGAAAGGATCAAAGGATTCGATGAATAATCGAGTCACCAATTTTCGCTTGGAGATGTTTTGAAGGTGAACAGCACCGACATGTGAAGTCATGAATATACCCTCCCAACAAACCCTTCTATCACAGCTTCAGCCTGCCAGTCCCCGCGAAATGATATACAATGTCGCTGAACTTTGTCGCAGGGAAGACATAGAGCCATTTGAGCTACTCCTTCTCGTTGTTCGTGACTGAATGTTGCACATCACCCGGAATGAACACCGCGCTCCCTTTCTCAACGTTATGGGGAACTCCATCGATAATCACCACTCCTCGACCCTGGAGAACATAGTATATCTCAGCTTGGGAATGGTGATGGCTGCATAAATATCCTGAATATCCCGGACAGACGGTAACCCCGGCAGAAAGCTCATTCGATGAGGTCTTCGGGTGCGTAAAAAGCGTACGCCACGACACTTCTCCTCAGGACGGGTCCTCAAATGCCTCGGTTGGGCTTCGATATAGTACTTGGAGACAGCACAGTTGGGCCAACGGTTCGATTTCGTCGGCGGTGTCATTATCGAGGAGATATGAGCGACCCCGCTGTGTTTGGTCGACGTTCTTGGATAGTTCAAGACCACCTTTCCTTTAAAGAAAGAAACCGTCGGAGTTATACCAGAACAAAATATTCAAATCGTCGGAAATATCGAGGATGCAATGCCACAACGAATGCAGTGGCCTTAAATTGACCGGGTGGAGGCTTTACAGTGGACTAACCAATAAGACAATTCCTGCACAGCACCATGGGATTTGATGCCTTCTCCGGGTATGGAACCGCGCTATGGTGACATCGCATCACTCTATGGAGTTGGCCAAAAGAAAAACCCAGGAAATCACGGAATGGGGTATTTAATCTACCTAAAAGAGTCTATCGTTCAGCGAATGCTTATATACATAGATGCGCGAACCCATAGGTCCTCTATCACGTCCAATCAACAAGAGAGGCATTCTTTCTCCTCGGATTCGATTGCCTCTCGCAAAATCTTGCATATCTGACGCAACTCCGCCTCTGTGACCGTGAAAGGAGGGGCCAACAAGATATGATCTCCTCGAATTCCATCCACAGTGCCCGCACCGGGATAAACGGCCAATCCTCGGTCGAACGCAGCTCGTTGAACACGCAATCCGAATCTCACCGTTGGATCAAAGGTTGCCTTGGTTGATCTGTTTTGGACGAACTCTACAGCCCAAAACAGGCCACGACCGCGGATATCACCAACGGACAAGCAATCTGTCAGTTCTGTCCGCAGCTGCTGCTCCAGTAATTGGCCGAGAGCGGCACAGCGTGCGACTAGATTCTCTCGCCGTACGATCTGCTGGACCGCTAATGCAGCGGCACAAGACACAGGGTGGGCCTGGTAAGTATGCCCATGATTGAACGCGTTGCTTCCCCGGCGGAGCACGTCGATCACCTTCTGGTGGACTAAAACCCCTGCGATGGGTGCATACCCACCCCCAAGCCCCTTGGCAATGGTCATGATATCGGGAACGACCTTTTCCTGTTCAAAGGCGAAAAAGGTTCCCGATCGGCCCACGCCACACATGATCTCATCGAGGATCAGCAGAACGCCGTACCGGTCGCATAGAGCGCGCACTCCGGCGAAATATCCAGCTGGTGCTGTGACGCAGCCCGCTGTCGCGCCCACGATCGGCTCGGCCACAAAGGCAATGACCTTCTCGGGGCCAATCTGGAGGAATTCCTCCTCAAGCTCTTGCAGGAGACGGGCTGTAAATTCTGCTTCCGTCTCCCCCATCCGCTGGTGCCGGTATGCATAGGCGGGGGAGACATGAGAGGTATGGGGATACATAAAGCCATCGAAGGGAACCTTGCGCGCGAGATTCGAGGAGATTGACATGGCAGCAATGGTATTGCCGTGGTAGCTCTGCTGCCGGGAGACAAAGTGCAGTCGTTGAGGCTCATTTTTCTCGTAGTAATACTGTCGCGCCAGTTTCAGCGCGGACTCGACAGCCTCGCTACCACTGCCGACAAAAAAGGCCTTTTCCAGTCCGTGGGGGTTGCCGTCTAGAACAAAGTTGGCGAGATCCTCCGCCGACGACGTGGTGTAGGATTGTGTATGAACGTAGCTGACACTTTGCATCTGCTTCATAATGGCTTCATGTACCTCTTCTCGACCATGCCCAATCAGAGCAACTGCAGCGCCAGCACAGGCATCAAGGACAGTTCGGCCATCGGAGAGATGGAGCATCAAACCTTTTGCACTCTCCACCTTGGCAGGGTGCTCTATGAGGGATCGATGAAGAAGGTGGCCTTCGCCGTTGGGTTTCGCCATTTTTGAGCCTTGCTCGTCAATCTTGGGTTTTAGAACCTCATCATCTATCCTGGAAGGTGCCATTTCGACAAGAAATCGACCGTTATGCGTGAGTTCAGAGACTGATGCTGGACTGCCAAGGTATTGGACGGTTCTACTGTAGAACAGCGTGCAAAGATTCAGCCACACGATAATCTGCGATGCAATGAAACACGCCTCTGTGCAGCTTTCTCGTTGCGATCAGTCAGAGGTATATATGGAAAGACTCGGAATGCGGCAACGTTTCTTAACTTTCGTACCCGAAACCCGATATCCGCTCAACGGCAGCTGGTGGGTCCAACAATATTTCACCTTGGGTGATCGGCAATCACTCTTGAAATGTTCATTGCAGGCTCTCAGCGCCAGCGTGTAGCTGAGGTTTTCTCGTTCTTTACGAGCTACCTCGGATTTGAGTTCGAATTTCGCAGTCTCCAAGTGATGTATACCATCTTGGTAATATTAGAGTCTAACGTAAAGATTCCTTAGTAGTACGGTGAGGGGTTTTTAATGGGAGTCGGATTTGGCCCATCATCGGATTTAAGTGTTAACGAACCATCGGATTTCAAATTACTCGGTTTCAAGGATTTTTGCCTGGGGATTAATAGCCGTGGTTCGGATTCGAACGTACTTCACGAGATTTAGTCTCGAATTGGCAAGGAATCAGTGTTTTGCTCAAGTAATATCGGCTTTTTCGGTTCGTCGGCCTTTGGGCTAAGCAAGTGGTGGAAGAAGAAATGCTTGAAATCCAGGAATTTCCCCAGGGAGCGAAAGAATTTCCATCACGCAGAGCTTACATCTCAGGAATTTCAATTCAAGGATCATAGTTCAGTCAGAGACCCTTTCCTGAAGCGACAGAAGGGTCATCAGCCATGGAAGAAGCTGCAAAAGGTTCTTCGGAATCACACTCAAAAACGGAGGTTTCGTCTCCTATTGTTGACAGCGACCACACAATTCACCAAGATGTTGTAGACGGTTGGAGAGGCTGGCTTGTCGTGACAGCAGCAGCCTGCTCTCTGTTTGTCTATCTTGGCATCATCTATTCCTGGGGGGTTCTGCAGGTCCAGCTACTGGAATCAACCTCTTCTTCTTTAACGACGTTGACGTTCATCGGCTCCCTCGCCACATCCTTCATGGTATCGTCAAGCATACCAGTAGGGTTGGTAATCCGGAGATGGGGCTATCAACGAACTGCTCTTGTCGGAGCAGTACTTATGGGCCTGGGAGAGTTCCTTTCGAGTTGGGCGACCGAGTACGTCGGTGCAATGTTTATAACACACGGTGTCATCTTTGGGGTAGGAGGAGGCTTGACGATTCTGGTACGTTTGCCTCTCACACCTTCGCGTCTCTCCTATTCTACCCGTTACACTTCTCCCAAAGTGAGTACAGTGGTGTCATCCTTTAGCTCACGGATTTTACTAGACATGTTCAACTGCCCCGATGCAATGGTTCGAGAAGCACCGGGGGCTAGCTGTAGGAGTCGTCTTTGGGGGTGGCAGTTTAGGTGCGGCTGTTATGAGCATCGCGACCAACATGATGGTAGAGGAATTATCGCTTGGCTGGATATTCCGTATTCTGGCGTTTCTATTATGGGGAATATGTATTCCAGCTGCTTGTCTAATCCGACAACCCAGCCATGCTAAGAACTCAGTTCCACGACCGCAATGGTGAGCTCATACTGCGCGATTGTAGACCAGATCACATAAAAGTCTGCTAACATGATGGGTGTTTAGGTATCGATTCCGCGAAAAAGAATTCCTTATTCTGTTTGTCGGATCTGGGCTGGCTTGTTTCCCTCTCTTCATTCCCCCCTACTTTATTCCAATCTTTGCGCGGTCTGTTACACATTCCCATCATATAGGAGTCATCATGTTAGCCATTTGGAATGTGGCATCCACTCTAGGACGGGTGGTGGCCGGCTTCCTAGCGGATTCATTCTTGGGCCCGATCAACAGTCTTATCCTCTCACTCGCATTAGCTGGACTCAGTGCCCTTGTTATCTGGCCTTTTTCTAGCACGACCGGTGTTTTATCGTTATTCATCGTATTGAATGGCGTCGGATGTGGTGCGTTTTTCAGTCTAGTTCCCAGCCTCGTGGGCGCTATGTTCGGTGGTAAGAACACACTTGGTATACTCCCAATTCTCTGGGCAGGATGGTTCGTGGGTTTCTTTTTTGTAAGATTATCAGCCCTCCCTTCCCTTCTTCGCGCTGTTCTGGGCTAAAGTTTCGCAGGGGTCGCCTATCGCGTCCGGTATTTATTCACTCTCCGGCAAAGAGGACAATATCGAGTCATACCGACCGGCGGCGTACTATGCGGGTGCTACGTCTATTGTCGGACTGCTTTTCACAATTGTCCTGCGATTGATGTATTCAAAACGCGTTTTCGCTAGAGTATAAGACTGCGAGTGATCTATTTATCGCTCGTCATGATTCTAGCGCAAGCTCAACATCCTCCAATGTAGGCCACCACTGCAACCACGCGCCCTGTCCATGGGAGTAAGTGCTGACATCTGCAAGCAGATGACTCAATGGTGCACTAAGATTCTCAATCTCGGTCCCAGTATCAATTCGGTCCACAGATGGACCGTAAGTTGCCGTTGAGACCACCCCTTCGGCTCCTTCAATCTCCTGCATGTGTTCATTCGATCGGTCGACGACTCGGAACTCATGGATCGACTGGTGAAGGTGATCGAAGTCCATCCGTGACTTCCCCAAGTATCTTCCCCTGTCAGTGGAAGCTCGCTGGTAGAGGATTGATGCATGTTTAAGAGTCGACACCTAGCGAGACGTTAGCGTGGCGCTGTGTAATGATATAGATATTATCCGACACGAGACACGTACCCAAGCCTCTCCCAACTTCCACACGTGTTGAAACTCTTCCAAGTATGCAAGACAGAAGTTCATCAGTTGCTCAGCTTGGGGGCTGCGACCAAGATTCATTCGAGGAAACCGATAGATGTAGAGGTTCATGTATGACGCGGAGAAAGCGCAGAAGCCTGCAAATGGCGTCATGAGATGGGCACCGCATTCAGATGCCTCGTGCAACAGCTTGGCAATGTGTTCTGCAGCAGTGAAGAGCTCCAATGCACTCGCTTCCCACCAGCCAGCGGGCGCCTCCGCTTCGAGCAAGGGGTGGTCCACGGGTCCTCGCGGGCCTGACTCTGCCGTTGGTAGGAACGGGAAATATTCACGGTGAAGCATAAGGGTGCTGTACATAGACTTATGTTAGCCATAAACTTGCTCACATCCATTGAGACAGGCTAGTGTCTGACCTCAAATAATAGAGAAGATTAATGTATGTAAATGATTCCCCATAGCCCAAGGTCATGTGGATTGCAACGCTGTTACTCGGGTAATAGAGGCGATCATGTTGGCCGGCTCTCCATCTCTCTAATTGTGCCTTGGTTCTTGACCACGGGGAACCCGGTACCCAAGGACAATTCTCTGGGGCACACATCCCTGGTGCTCGCCGACCATCATTGAAGATGAACGTCATTACTTGTGCCCATATATCAAAGCCAGACACCAGAATCTCATAACATTGCGTGATGTCTAAAAGGCCCGATGGCTGACGCTCCGGCCAGGTAATATTCTGGCCTGTGGCTCCAGACCAAAGGCTTGCACTGGTCCCGAATGCAAATTCAACCGTACTTAGGGGTCGGGAAACCTTCAGCTTCTCCATTTCAGATAAAGGAAGCATGGGCGGATTGTACGTCCCCGAACTAATCATACGGTCCATAATAAAACAAGCCCACATCGTTCTATTTTCTATTCCCGGAGCAATCATATCTTTGGCTGCTCCCGCATTAGTATCAGTATCAAGCGGGTACGGGGCAATACGTCGACTATGAATCGATTGCATGATCCGAATAGCGATGCCTGTCCTTTGTATTAACCATGATGTACGTCAATCTCAATTAGCGACGTACCGCAGTAAACCCAGGCCTTATGGAAGTTCCGGCCTCCCCACTCATAGAGAGTCATTATGAGAAGCGCCTGGACAACTTGGATGTTTGGCGGTTGAAGAATGAACTCAGAGAGAGCCTGCCGGGCATAGAACTCATAATCTTTCCCGGACAGTAAACTACTTGCCCAAGAGGGGTTGAGAAACGACAGTTGGCTTTTCGTCACTAGAAGTATGGCACTCAGTAAAACTTTCGTCTCCTTGGAGCAACCTAGTTCGAATGCTTGCATGAGTGTCGGAAGATGTAGAATCCCCAACTCCGGAAACTTGTTAGTGAAAACATTCAAAGACTTGAGGATCACGCCTGTCGGAAGGCTGGCGAGATGCTCATCGGTCCGTGAGATGTCCGAATCTCCTCCGAGACAATCTGAAAATAGCTCTGCTCTGCTCTCTTCATGGCTTGGTGAGACTGGCCGTGGCCCTGATGGCTCCTCATGATCTTTGTGATCCGTGTTACTACGGCCTCGCCTCCTAGAAACTCGGGTGGCCACATGTCGCGGCCTAGAAAGGATGCAACCGGGAATTTGCGATTTCTGACACTTTTGGCAAGGAGAGCTACCGGAATTTACACACTTGATTTTAGATTTTCTGGAGCAATCAGTGAGTGCCCCAATAACCGAGGATGATTCGAGTGTCCTACTTACCGGCAAAACGCACAAGAAAGACTCGAACGCATAATTCAATTAGTTCCTTCGCATCCACTATACGTGTCAGGACAATGCCAAGATCCCCCGTCCGTCAGGCTCTTCGGATGGGCTGAACTATGTCGGATTAGAAGACATTGAGGGGGGGAAACATTGGAAAAGTTCATTCCCGATTCCAAACCCGAGACGACATCACATGACCTGCTACAAATATAACCTTCTGTCTGTCAATCTGTACCATCCCTCAGTTATGGTGAGGTTAACGATTAAAAATAATAATAAAAAAAAAGGACAGAGAGAGAGACAGAGAACTAATTTCTATTAGCCATCAAGGAAAGTAACTACTCTCTATGTTAGGTCAGACATTTCGCTCTTACGAAGCCAAGAAATCAGGACTTGAGTCTAGAAACAGAGAAAGAAAGAAAACATCATAGAACAAAATATAGTCAAGGTACACCGTATACTAAGAAAATTAACTACGTGTAGATCGTCTAGTCGACTTACCACACGGTTGATATGCCGTTCAACTGAGATCAACCAACATCGTACTGTTGAGTAGCTCACATTTGAGCATTCTCGGCAACGCACAAGGATTATCAACTCCAGTGCATTCAGATCCAGAAAGTGAAAAAAAAGAACCGGTATATAGTTGGAACTATTCTGTCCCAACCAGTACGCCCATCAAGATGGCCGTGCCGGATATACAGGAGGGCTAAAAAGGTACGCGACCGGCACCCAATGGTTAGCAATGGTTAGGTAGCATATATGCAGCAAAGGCGGCCAGGCCACGGTAGTAAACAACCGTATGGTCAGTGATTCACTGTCGGAGGTGGTCAGTGACGTCCATGTTGAGAATACTATCGTGGCGATTGTTAAAACCAGCAGACAGATGCTTTGTAAGATACCATTTTGCCAGAGATCTTGGTAAAGCATGTTGCAGAACGATGATTTCGTGATGCGATTCCAAGAATTCTCCTTGCTTCCGGTGACGAACGATCCTTTCGGAGCGCTCGAAATGAAGTGGAACCGTATGACTGCGTATAGGTGTGCTAGAGGGCGAAACAACCCGTTGAGTTAACCGCGCGATTCCCATACTTATACAGAACTAAGGGGAGAGATCAAGAGTAAAATGCTTACCAGCAGCCAACCAGCTATTCTCCAGCTGTGAAAACGGAGAGCCTCGAATTCCAGCGTGAGCATTTTGCAACCATCCATATACCCACAATGTAGAGACATAGAGCATGCCCAGAACCACTTGAGCCTGGAGCAAGAAGAATGAAGACGCAGGTATAAGGGACCGGGACAACAAAAGCCAAGGCACAGTAGCATAGCCAACGACATGGCCGACCAATCCCAGAGTAATGGCCAGACCTCCACATGCAATACTCCACTGAACGTGTCGCGGTATAGATCTGTTCGCTGGCGGTCGCAATGCGAAGACTTGTTGAGAATGGCCGATGTGCCATCGGTTTCTCTGGGCAATGTGTCCTTCAAGGGATGTAGGAATCAGTCCGAACTGCAGCGGCTCCTGCACTTGGACAGTACGGTATCCCATGCCCCGTAATATCAGAGAAAGCTGCCAATCTTCCGAAAAAGAGAAAGTGGGATACCCGCCGACATCAACAATCGCGTTCCGTCGGAACACCGCCCCTGATCCAGCATCAATAGCACGGCCACAAATGTCGAGTTCAGCATTTTGGCAGGTATAAAAATGAAGGCGAGATTGCGAAAGTGGGTCTCCGGCAGGGAGATTATCAAAATACTGCCGGGTAGTGACCAATGCTGCCTGGGGAGGAAGGAGTAAATGGGGAAGAGTTGCTCTGAGAAATTCCGGCTTTGGGATAGAGTCCGCATCCAAAATAGCACAGAATTCTGGCGGGTCATCCTTCTGTACGGTGAATAGAGCATAGTTCAGATTTCCAGCTTTAGCGAATACCCGACCTGACTGTCTCCCGCGTGTATGGTAAAAGAGATGGGGCCAGTTCAAGTGTAGCTCGGAGATAGCATCACGCAGCTGGATTGAAGCGCCGTCATCGAGCACGCGCACCCGAAATTGGGACGTCGGATAGTCTATTGTGCAGGCAGCGCGGACTGTAGCTAAAATCACATCCACTGGTTCACCGCAGCAGGGGATCAAGACATCGACCCGTGGCAGGTTTTGGCTGCCCCGTAGCCGTAGCCTTTTGCGCGGGCCGCATTCTGGTTCCCCACCGGCAGCGACGGTGAGGCGCTGATCTTGATAAGACAAGCCTGTCAATCCATTAACATTATTCCGTTCCCTCTCGCAAAGTACGAGTAAAGGGATCCCCCAGGACAGCACTTACGACCAAATACTCCTTCCACGGCTAGCATTAGCCACATGCGCCAGGATCTCTGAGACTCCGTCAGGATCAGGAGTAAACGGAAAAGATAATAAAAATTAGCTGTCCATATTGCGGCTTGGGCTGTCCAGTAGAGATGCTTCCGGTAACGCTGACCCGACAGTATTCGGGAATCAGGCGGGAGTTCTTCGATCTCGCTGGCATACTCAGAAGTCATTTTCCTGGGGGATTAGCGCCAAGAAGCAGTCTAATCTTCACGTCGCGGTTGAATTTAGTGTCTGTCTTCTTGGATTGATGTATCAGCAATTGATGCCAGGTCCCCTGCTTTGGTATTGTCCTCTCTGTCAAAGTCCACACATGATGACCACCAATCTATCTCTCTCTCTCCCGCTGTGAGATAAACTGGAATAGGGGGAAAGCCACATTCTGCACGAAGATAAATAAAAACCTCCTGCTAAGAAAAATTGCGTCCGTGTGTTTTGGTCTTTGTTCTAGAATTTACCATTTATGGCCCACTTATTCCCCGTTTGGGGGAGGGATTCTAGATCACCAACAGGCGGCAACCCTAATTATGGTTAATAGGGGGTTGGAAGTTTTCAGCGCCTCCTTTCCGTCAACATCCGGGAATAGGAACATAGGCCGAGGTACGGACCAGGTGTTAATTGGGGTATGTTCCCCCCACAATTTCCGACAATCTCGCTCGCGCTTCTCTTCAATGTTGCTCTGCGAAGCATCACTTGATCCAAGAGACCATTCAAATTGGACTACTTTCGGTTCTAGAATTGCAAGTTAGTCAGTCGACCTAGTACTTATACGCGTTTCTACTCTAAGGGCAACCCCATTGTTCAATGAGTCCGCTAATTCTTCGCCATAAAGCAGTCGAAGTCCCCGAGATGTATGATTCGTTAATCCAGAGGTGTTTGTATTGATAGATAGATCATTGACGCTTTATTCCGTATTTGCCGTGTCAATCGTTGTCTATGATTTAGGGTATGAGACCATCTGAGGACGAACCGTTCTACTCCCGATCGACATAGCCGCCTCATTCCGAGTTCAAGAATAGGGACCCAAACGGCAATCACCGCTCTTTTTTCCCCCGCTCTCTGTTTCTATCCAGTTCCGCCGATCGAACGATTGAAGGAGCGTCATTTCGCCTCAATGTCGTGTTAGTACTTCCCAAGCACGTTCAGAAAATGTAGGAGCCGAGATGCTCATGGTCAAAGAGAGTAGCGCTGTGGCCACATCTTCACCTTCTCCCATGATGTGATGCCAGCAGTATTCGTGTTATGGAGAGATTCGCATCTCTAGGCTTCTTCCGGTAAGGCGCAGGATTCCCCGGAATTATGGAAATAGTATTGGCCGCCTATCAGGGCATTAACACTGCAATGATTGATGAAGGCTTAGTCTAATATAGACTTACTATAGCAGTGATCTATAAAAAAATAATAAGGAGTGATCTAAGGCGTAATATTAAGTATTAGTGAAATCATATCTTGTTCTACTTCAAGCGTAGGAATGTACCCGCCGATATGTGTTCGGGTCCTTGTTCGAATATATATGGTGTATGGATCGAAAGGGTGAATAAGTGTGAAACAATTCGCATGAGCTACATGGCATTGGACAGGAATTAAAACTAGCATATATTAAAAGCAAATGGTAAAAAGAAGAAGGAAAACGAGAAAGAAACCCAGAGGTAAGGATGTGGACGTGAGGAAATGTTGTGTAAAAGCCCTCTAACCCCTATCTAATGCAATCTTTCCGCCTTTGCATTCATTTTGCCTGTCTCAGCAACAGCTTACTATACCGGGACTAGCGGAGAGAGCATTTTATACCACATCGGAATCTCATAGTACTATTACGGAAAAACGCTCTCATAACTAGAAACATAGTAGAAGCGGAAAATAGAATTAGATGCCATTATCTTTGTGCTCTGCTAGTATGCTCTAGTCATTTGAAATGCATGAACACCCATGATTTCCGGAACCATGACGAAGCGCATCAAGGGAGCGCACAGCGACTTTGCAGATCAAACCTAGGTATTTATACAACTTTCGCATACTCCTCCAATGCTGAGTGAAGCCTTCCCCATCGACCGTCGTCCCATTTTTGTAGGTCGTCCCATTCGGGGAGCGATGATTTCGCAAACTGGAGCCAACCACCCACAATGAAATCAGCATACGATACGGCGCTTCCCTCCAGGAATGGGCCCTCTGAATAACGATAGGTCTTTGCGAACTCGGTCAGCGCCGCTTTGAATTCTTTTAACGTGTTCTCCCGGGCCGCCCCCGCGAGGATAAGGTCATCCCAACTCTGTACCCCTGCTCTTGCGGCAAAAGTCGCCTTCGACACCTCCGCCGTTTCCGGATTTAAGGGCATCCCGTAACAGAGAACGGCAAAGGGAGTGAACAGCGCGTCCACGTAAGCGTTGAATGAGGCATGTAATCCGACACTCGATCCGGGGATCAGCCGAGGCGCGTCGGGGTATTCTTTATCCAGGTAGAGTGCAATGTCGAACGAATCTCCGACTTTTTCGCAGGTAGCAAGATCTTCAATGATTGGCAGGGTGTAGAAAGGACTGCCATCGCTGAAGGCCCGACATGGGGGTACGCCGAGTCCCTTGCGCGTCGATGTAACGTCGGGCAGATCCACCCACTCTGTCCGATACGGGACGCCTTTGAAGTTCAGCGCGTATCTGACATTGGTTTCCTAGATTATCTGGTGGTTCTTAAAACAATCGTATTGAAACAATGCGGGAAACCTACCGCGCTTTCCACGGGCTGGGAGCGAAACAAGTGATGGGGGGACCGGACGCGATGTCATATAAGATAATGTGCCGAGAGGATTCCATGCTGACTATGGTACTGATGATAATAATGATGGTACACCATGTGGCTGAAGACAACCCGGATGTCCAGATGTTTAAGTATATTTCCGTCCACCTTCTTTTTGTGGAACAGTTATTTACGTCCACTCCAATTGATGCGTGAGAACCCGCCATTCCCCACGTAACACTGCATCTTTGCCTTTCACTTCCCCACTTCGATTCACTGGGCGGTTCCTAGCTCCACTAGGAGAGAATGTCAGTTCCGCAACTTGTCGTGTTTTTCTTCCTCTTTTCGTTTCTTTTTATTTTTCTTTTTCTTTTTCTTTCTTTCTTTCTTTGTTTCTTTCTTTCTTTCTTTTTTTTTTTTGTTTTATTTTTTTGAGCTTTTCATCGCTTTGTTCATTGCCTTTCGCTTCCAGCGAAAGCCTTCATGGGCTAGACAGTAAAAGTACATTACGAGATGGACACATGGTCCCTGGATCTTTTCTGAGATCAGAGATCTGCACCAGTGAGGGCGATGAATCTTTGGACAGTCGCAGGGCTTCCAGCCAGTCAACAAAGTTGGGTCACACCCCGTGGTTTGTCGATATGGTTCCGTAAAGCCACCGTGACAGCTGAAGATCGACAAGCAGTCTTCTGGGGCTGTCAGGCTTGAACCAGGATACCTTTGAAGGAACTATCCAAATTATTGGCATTGGAAACAGCGCGCCTTACGGGCCCCAAGAATTGAACTGTGGAGAATTCTAGATTTCCGTATAGTATTGGGTTCCGGGAAACCGTTCTCCCTTGATGGCCATGAGACTCAGTCACCATAAATAGTAGATATGGATAGGCGTTCCATCTCATCATGGCTTCTCACATTGGTATCCGTGAAAGCCAGTTGTAAGATGATGATCCAGCAGGAGAAGGGGTTGATATACACACAAAGGTGCCAGCCGCGCCATGAGCGAGTATCTCACCACCCGTAGCAGAAGAAGCCTTCCTATAGTGGTAATGCACCATTGACCAATCAGAATCTAGCTGAATGAGTCATGGTGAGTAAGAGATCAAAATAGACAAACCAAACAAACTGATCTCCTATCTTCTACGTAAAAAGGCAACAAAACTTGCCCAAAATTCAATATCTTCAAGATAGTCACGTATGAAAGATCAAACCAGATAAACGCCTCATCATCTAGGGCTATAACAACGCTAATAATGCTACACAAGTACATGCAATGATCGTCCCTCGTTCCCTCCGGAAAATTCATCATTAATAGCTCTTAGAGATTCCCAAAGTCCCACCATGTTGAAAACCCATCAATATTACCCATCGCGGACTCAGCTTCCTGATAGTCCATGTTCTCCATGTCTGGAAACTGTCCTGTCCAGAGCCAGGGGGTATTCATCATGAGGCTGTCGGCCGGCGCCACCAATTTGTCGGCGAGGGCAAGGCTGCTAGGCGTAGAGGGCGCCGATGAGATGTTGGGCATGCTGGGCTGTATGTGGACAGCCTGGCCACCATCCGCAGTATTGACGGTGACTTCCGGGGACATGGCGACGATGACCTCCAGCGTACAGGAGCTCTCCCCGGCGTCATCTCGCGAGATGGCAGGAATCAGCGTGGGGTGTAGTAAGCCCCCAGACATCGACTGTGGCTCGGGCATACAATTAATCTGGAGAAGATCCCACATCAATGGGATACTCAGGTGGATTTTGGCGGGCATCCAGTCGTAGTTCACGTTTTCCGACCCGCATGCAATCCGGGTCATCTTCTCTAGAGTTTGGTCCTGAACGATAACGTGGTTAGCACTGGTACTTCCGGATTGTTCGAAACATGGTTCATACCAAAGCTTTACAGGCTGCAGAGAACGGCACAAAGCTTTTGAGAAAGCCTCGGCATTTGTCGAAGTCGATTTTCGACTTCTGCTTGAGCCGTGGATCGGCGGCGCAGCAATAATAAAGATGTACTGTCGCGGCGATGGCAGCGGCGTGTCCAAAGAATGGGTCGATGAGCCGCATTTTCTTTTCTGAGACCATGTCGATCATGCGCACCAGCCAGGTCGCGTGCAATAGGACCAGCTCGGACGACCGTCGCCAGAAGGCGTTGGGGATGGCGAGATTCGGATTCGACTGTGACGCTACAATATAGAGAAAAGGATGATTCAGCACCGTCAAGATGCAGTGATACGTGAACTGCAATTTTAGCCAGGGAGTCCAGTACCCTCGGTTCATGCGTAGCTCTTCTGCCTTCCGCTTGTAAAACTTGACCGAGTCATATCGATGGCACTGCGAGAGCTTGTTCTCAACTTCCGTCAGGTCCGACAGGATCATTGAGTACATCGAGTCATGTCGCCAGGGCTCCTTGAGTCGATTTTGCGCACAGTCGGACACATACGTTCGGACCATGCTCCAGACCCATCCGAAATGAACAGCAAGGCTCCAAATCCCGATATCGCTGGGCATGGAACATCCGATATCATCCCGCGGTAACTGGGGTGGCCGTGGCTCAAATCCCGTTCGAGAGCCCTGATCTCCGCCGGCTGGGTAAGGCCGTAGGATCTCTGCCGGGACACTGAGAAACCCATTTTGTTGGCCATAAGTCTGCTCTAGGGATTGTAGACTCCAGAAAAGTCTTTTCTTCCGTTCAGTCAACGGACTCTCGGTAAGGTACCCAGATTCCATGTCCATCATCGCCGACCGGCACAGTTGAAAGGCGAGGCCAAGGTGAAATCGACCAAGGTGCACATCTCCATCTAACACTAGTTAATGCGCGCGTCTTCTGTGCGTGACAGCCTCAGTCAAGCAAATCATACCTATGAATGAAGAATACGCTAGCAGACATAGACTTTCGATGGTTTCGAGGTCCACGGTGCCATTTGCCACGCGGAGCATGATCAGTGTTCGGGCAGTACTTCCATAACGCTGCGACTGACCCGGCTCGCGCGAAAAGCGCGCAGTCAGGGCCAGGATGCTGTAGATAAGCTCGTCTGAGAGACTGCCTTTGTCTTCAAGGTCGTCATAATCGAAGCACCAGATCGGCTGCCGGTGACAGAAATGGAAATAGAGTTCCAAGCCTTTACTCACCGCAGCTTGAGACGGATGGGCATTTGAGTCGTCATTTCCATATCCCAGGGATAGAGAACCAGACCCGGGAGAAAAGCGCTCGTAGGCTGGTTCCCCCGATGAGGGATTGCTGTTCTTCGAGTATGTGGTTTCTGGAATATCGCTAAGTTCCTCGCGAGTTTGCTCTTGCCGGGTCGCTTGGACCGGTCTAGGAAAAATGGGTCAGATGAACATCCTGACGGAGCGGATCGCAGTTTGCTGTCTACCTGGAGCCACTTAGGATGAGATTTACCTTCTCTTCCAATGATGCCAGCCGGTCTTCCTAAAAGAAACTTGTGAATCCATGCCCACAACAGGATGAGATGACGTGAGATTTTCGATACATACAGATTGTCCACCTCGCGATGCTCTTCGGGCCGAGGTATACAGACACGGCTGGTTCAGGCGGACGCAGTTTGAACAGGACGGCCTCTCTGCGGGACAGCGAGTTTTCTTTCTCCTAGAAGGAGCGTTAGTATCTCCAAGTCGAACGATCGGGCCGAGAAAGCGACTTACCTGCAGTTCAGGCAGGCCTCATGTGAACGCAACCTCCCACGATTGCTCTCCCGCGGCATCATACTCACTGCGAATGACAGGCAAGAGACATGGTTGGAAAAAGAGAGGTACAATGACCATTAAAACTGAGAAAGTTAAACAGAGGATATAGCTTCTCCGGTGATGTAAGGGGCGATGACACCCCCACCATGACCGGTCATGGTAAAGTCCAGTGCGCAGTGAAGTAGGAAGGGCAAAAAAAAAAAAAAAAAAAAAAAACAAAGGACAAGAAGGATTCACGATAACGTCAGGAATGCTGCCCTGGTGATGCTGCAGAGATCGACTGAAAGGGCAAATGACAGCCTCGTGACCCCGCCTTGTTTTGCCCTAAAACGACGCGGGTCCGTGGATCCAAGTCTGAGCTGCAGGATCTAGATTCTCTTCCCCATTGGAACTTTTCCTTGAAACGGTTAAAAATTCCTTGCGAGCCATAAGCTGTTCCCCACATTAAAAACTAACCACACTTTGTTTTTGTTTTACTTTGATTTCTTGGGACTGTTCTTGTGATGACCCTCAACGGATTGTTCCCCCCTTTTTTTCTCAAAGCATCCGCAGGGAGTGGATTTCTATCGATCTATGGAGGACCATTGCGAACTAATTGGCTAGTTCCGGGTGTGTACGGGAAAGGATTGTAGAAAAGATAGCGATCAAACGGGGTCGGATTATACGCGATGTCGACCTGATAACTCTCAACCCCACTATTTTTTTTTTTTTTTTTGGAATAATTCACACTCATAGAGTGAATGCAATCTATCTAATCATGGTGTTTGTCGATCAATAGGACACGGATAATGAACTGCAGCGGAGATCACCCGGAGATGACCCAATTATATCTCTTCTCTACATTATCGGTTGCACCGAGGAAATCCTGACTTGAACACGATCGTCTATCAAATTAATATTCTGATAACTATCAGTATAGATATGGTAAGTGAATCGCTATATGGGCTGTGCTACTCATGTGAAAGAGAGAGTCGTGAAACATGATGATACCCTATTCCCAAGGGAACCCGAAGAAAAAGCAAAGAAAGGAAATGAAAGTACAGACAAGACATGATGATACGCTCAAAACACCAACTCCAAGACATGCAATCTAAAAGACAAGAGTTTCATTAGGTTGACATCCCACTCCACCACAGCACCCGCCAGCGGGCATTGAGCAATCGATCCCCCGAGCCTGACTCTGGGCGTCCAACTTGTTGCAGAAAGTCATGTCCTCCTCGCTGGTCTGAGCAGCGGTCGGAAGGATTTGGCGGGTGGGCCAGATCTTCTGACCAGCTTCCTCTTCCTTCTTGCGGTGCTTCATGATAAGCTCCCGCACTAAGGCCTGGAAGTAAAGGGCTCCCTTTTCCTTGCGGGGTTGCAGTTCGCCATTCGCAAACTCTCCGTTGTTCAGGTTCTTCTGCATGTTGGTACAAAGGTCCTTATCCTCGGACATGATACGCCTGTACATTTGGTTGATCAACTCGAAATCCTCATCGCTGGAGTTCTTGTTGCGGTACACCTCATATCGCATCATACACTTGGTGGGCGAGGTTGGCACGAATCGCTGCATGAAGAAGCCGTGGGGCCTGTCTCCGGGAGTTAGCGAGGAGAAGCATCACGCAGAGAAGGTGGCAAGGACTTACGAAACTTTCATCGACGCGTTAGGGAAATAGTAAGTGCTGGCAACCTTCACGTCGCGGGCGGTCTGCTCCTCCGTAGAGTTGGCGTAGTGAATATTACTACCATCTTTGGTATCAACAGAGAGAACTTTCCAGTTGTAGTCGCCCTCTATCTCCCAGGTGTGGTCGAAGTTGTAGTCATCCCACTCGATCCCTTGGAACGGGACTTGAAGGTCAATCTCGTCGAAATCGTCCTCCCACACAATCTCAGGTTTCTCCTTAGCGTCCAAGTTGACCCAGATGAATCCGTTGTTGTCGACGTGGACATGGATCTGGAAGAGGCCATTCTTGCTTTTGTCGAATCCTTCAAGATCCTGATAGCCAGGTGCCTTGGCAAGTTTGCCATTGAGGCCATATGACCAGCCGTGGTACTTGCAGGCGAAGATTCTGGCTTTACCCTTCTCCTCGGTCACGACGGGGAAGGCACGGTGGCGGCAGACGTTGTGGAAGGCATTGATGTTGCCATCCTTGTCGCGAACCAGGATAATGGGATATCCTGCGATGTCATAGACCAAGTAGTCACCGGTGCTGGAAAAGCGCAGCTTGTGGGTGATCAACATCCACTTGCGGGAAAAGATGGCACGGCGCTCCAGTTCCCACACCTCGGGAGAAGTGTACCAGTTTGTAGGCAAAGCCCCCATCGGGTCTGTATCGCTTGGCGGTGTGGCCCCGGAGGAGGCGACTTCGCCCAGGCCGAAGTAGTTCTTCCAGAGGGATGACATTGTGCTGTAAGGATTTTGGTGTGTTGTGGAAGTGGAAATTAGATGGAATAGCTTAATAAAGCAAGTTCCTTGAGGCTGTTTATTACTCATAGAGTAGCTGTTGAATCGTTTGAAGACAAGTAGCTTTTATATAGCTGGTTCACTTACCCCCATGTGGGGGCAGACTATGACAGGCCAGAGGTCCATACCGGTCACAAGATCGGGACGGAGTCACTTAGCCGTGAACCGACCGACGGTTCTGGAGCCCGAGATAGCGTATCAGCAAGATAGCTGGCTGTTAGAACCGGGTCTACAAAGCGCCACACGGGAGAGCTATTCCTGCAGCCGGTGGTTATCGTTCGGAATGCTCCCAGGGGGTAGATTATCATGATACTAGCTTGGCACTAACGGTTCCTTTACCAAGAATGGTCAAAGTTTCCAGCTACCTTGATATACGCTAAGGACTTGGGTGAAGGGGAGACAAACCCCTTGATGCCAACCTTAATGGCATTGTTCATGCTCAATGCCGTATTAGATCGACTCGAAGACCATCAGTGTACTTGACTAGGGGGCAGTAGTATGTCGTAGGCTTTTGTAGAAGTATTCTAATGCATTCTGCAGGTGTATATCAACGCATTACCCCGGATTCTGTACGTTGCTTGTTTCCCAGCCGTCTCCCATCCTGCACCCCGAGCAATTGTTCTCTTCCTTGTACCTCCTAGTCTGCAGCCATGTCACATTTAGAGGACACCATCCGTCACCTGCATCCAGACGACACCGGGGTCATCCCCGGAAAATCCGAGAAAGCGCCCTCTCGTCGCTTGACCGCATCTTCCGATTCTGCCTTGGATATCCAGCACGGCACTGTTTTGGGTAGCGAAGTCCATGCGGGACTGCAGCGTAGACTCGGTAATCGACAGATACAGCTTGTTGCCATTGGCGGTTCTATTGGGACAGCTTTATTCGTGACTATCGGAGACGCCCTCCGTAAATCAGGCCCCGGTAGTCTTTTGCTAGCCTTTTCAGTCTACAATGTCATGCTCGCCTTGGTCAACAACTGCATGGCAGAAATGTCAACATATATGCCCGTGAGCGGTGGGTTCATCTATCTGGCCAGCAAATGGGTTGACGACGCGGTGGGCTTCATGGTCGGCTGGAACTTCTTCCTCTATGAGGCCATCATGATCCCCTTCGAAATCACAGCGATCACGCTGGTCTTGTCCTTCTGGCGTAACGATATCCCGCCTGCGGCTGTCTGCATTGCTTGTATTGTAATCTACGCGTGAGGTTCCCAAATGCACCCGAACCACATCCATGCGCCTGTCTCGTTTCCTCCCTCATGCGGTCTGGTTCACCCTGCCCCTGCGACTATTTGCTAAGTGTTTTGTATTTAGTTGCCTGAATGTTCTGGTCGTCAAAGGTTATGGCGAATCCGAGTTCTGGCTTTCAGGCGGGAAAGTCATCCTGATATTTATCCTATTCGCCTTCACCTTTGTCACCATGGTAGGAGGTAACCCGCAGAACGACGCCTTCGGATTTCGTCATTGGCGCCATCCAGGCCCGTTCGCGGAATATCTACACTCAGGCGACCTTGGACGATTCGAAGGATTTTTGGCCGCGCTCTGGACCGCTTCCTACACTTGTGTTGGTCCCGAGTACATTTCGATGGTCGCTGCCGAAGCCAAGCACCCTCGCATCTACATTAAGAACGCATTTAAGACCGCCTACTGGCGCTTTGGGGTGTTTTTTGTGGGAAGCGCCCTCTGCTGTGGGGTCCTAGTCGCCTACAATGACCCAACTCTGGTCGCAGTGTATACCGGTGAGTCTGATGGCGCAGGAAGTGCTGCTGCATCTCCATATGTAATCGCAATGGATAACATAGGAGTTGGCGTGTTGCCGCACATTGTCAGTGCCCTTCTAGTTACCACCATATTTTCAGCCGGTAATACCTACACTTACTGCGCGACCAGGAGTCTTTATGGTCTAAGCGTGGACGGTAAGGCCCCGAAATTCCTGAGCAAGTGCACCAAAGGGGGTGTGCCAATCCGCTGCGTCGCGGTCGTCATGGCATTCCCATTTCTTTCCTTCTTGCAATTATCCAGCAGTTCTTCCCAGGTTTTGACCTGGCTTATAAACCTGTTGACGGCAGCTGCCATCATTGATTATATCGTTATGTGTTTGACATATATCTGGTTTTACCGGGCTTGCAAAACGCAAGGCTTCGACCGTTCCAAACTTCCTTACAGGGGCTGGTTTCAGCCCTGGAGTGCCATTATCGGTCTTCTGTGGATGGCGATGGTTGTCACCTGCTACGGATATACTAGCTTTACGCCGTGGGATGTCACCACCTTTTTCACACACTATACCATGCTGCTATTTGGACTCATTACCTTCGCCTCATGGAAGCTCATCAAGCGCACCAGACTCTTGCGTCCAGACGAAGTTGACCTTACTTGGGATGCCCCCCATATTACCGCATACGAGGAAGCCGCCAAGATCAACGATCCTCCTATCGGGTTCTGGACTGAGCTCGTTCTGCCATTTAGGTCTGGACGGAAGAACGCTCCAGGACAGTCAGAACCTACGGTTTAAGTCGGGAGTTCATTCAAGGTTATATGTACGGGGATATTAAAGGTCTTACATGAGCATAGAGGAGGGACACTATGCTGGTGGGGAGGATGCAACCCACCTTTGTATATACATTTGGCATGTCTATGTATAAATGATATTTATACATGTGCTGCACATTTGCTTGTGGGCTTTTGTTGTACCACAGGTCTAGGTTCATGGCATAGTAGAAATAATATCTCGTCATGGAAAGAATGTTATGCCTTCGGCACACTGCGTCCCATAGCAGATACAAAGTAGTCGAATTTGCTTCGCCGATTTTACCACGGAAAGCCATCGAATTTATGGGACGCCACAAGCTCTCGGTAGTGCAAATAGCTTCCGGGCCAGAGGGGCGTGGGATCTACCACTGCCAGTTCCCTTTAACTGAGACTGACGGGAGCCAGTTTAGACCATGTCTTCAGAGTCCTCCTGGACCTTCGGCCAGACGTCAAAGGAGGCAACGCTTTCTCGGCTACTCGGAGCTTAGCTTCACAAAGAAATCCGCGGTCGCGTCGAGAGTGTCCATTGCGCTGTCATTGGAGGTTGGCATGTTTGGACTAGGAAGGCCAAGTAGTTCTGGTAGCCTGGCACGGCAAGGTTCTTGGATCTCAGATAACTGGGATTGTTAAGGACGCCGATTGCGCTCAAAAAGACATCACAGTCGTTGTTGTTGACTTCGACCGTCGATACCGATGGCTCTTCATCCCATTCTGCTTTCGTTACGGGACATGAGTATCATTGATTTTCAAGATGATAAAGATTGCCAACAGCCTCCAGGTAGCATTGAATTTCAGGTGAGCCCTGCGAAGCTGTAAAGAGGTATAAGTCGATTCCGCGGTCGCTAGAGCAATCTACCGCATGAGAACCCACACTCCACACCAGTAGTGATCGGGCATCACGCTGAATTGATACACATATTATTACCGTATTTTTCTTGAACTCTCCTCTTGAAAGGCCAATTCAGAAGAGCCGAATTATACCCCGTGAACGGTCTCAGCACACTTGTATACCGAAACCCGGCCCAGCTCTTGGGCAGGAAAGGGCGAGCATTGAGTCATCTCCAACCCCCCGCAGTATCTCCAGTGCACGGCCCGTGTCCAATCCTCATCAGGACTGCATGATAAAAATAGGGTGTGGGCCCTCCAGTAGTCCGGGGAAGAGAATTCCTAATCAGGGTATCCCTTCCACGGAACAGTCAGCTGACTCCTTCTCTTCATGATATTCCTTTCCCTAGCTGAGAGATAGAACCTCGTTAGTACACATTTTGTCTTTGGCTTGTTGTGGAAGAAACCGAGAGACAAAAAGTCAAATAGAAATAAGTCTATCAATATTTTCCTTTGAAATATGCCCTAAGTGTTCTGCTGCTGCCCTTCGGCTTGGCTGCTAGGTTCATGGCTAAGGTAAGTTGATACGTTAGCCTTTATTTTGTCGCTTTAGTCATGTTTGTAGTAAGGAGTGCTAATCTAGCTGGTATTACATGGATATCTTCAGGTGGTGCACATCTTAAGAGACATACCGAAGGGTAGATTATGTTAATTGAAATA